AAATACCAAACTCCTAGCTTTCCATGATTAAGCCATTGTTTATACAAGAGCAGAAAACTGTGTGCACAGTAAAAGCATTGCAGTTCCTAACAGCAATCTGAGACTGAGGCAGGAAGCGGTGGGCAGCCCTCATCGAAGGTGCATAATGTGGTGGCACCAGCAGTACAAAGTGTACAAGCTGCATGTGCCACGAACCCACTCTGCATCTGATTTTGAGTTAATTTTTGGTCACTTGTGTTTGAGAAGCATTTCCTCTTGCCATTATTTTTCACCATCCTAACATTCAGTCGTGCAATCCCACAGGTCACATCCCAAGATCAAGAATCTGTGTTCTACAAAAGAAACATCCAGTAACAGAGACTGCAGGGACACAAAAGAAAATCAGTCCTCACCACTCTCTATGAAGCAGGGCAAATTGTGCAGCAGCATCAAACGGCCATGCAAATGGCTGGTGTTCTCGTCCACAGGGAACCTGAGGGGCACTCTCAGCTCGAAGCGCTCATTTCCTGCCTTGAATGTGTACACGAATTCTCTTTCCTTGCTGCAGAATCTTTCTTGGTTTTTCTTCATATTCTTCCGCAGGATTTCTGTAGAATGAACAAAAAAAGCCAGCGTCAAACGTCCACAGGAAACATGTTTCATTATTGCCGCAGCACCTCTAAAACACAGCCTAGGCGCACTCAGAGACTGCACCCCTGCGGTTCTGAACCAACTGTTCCAGTTTGTATTTTACTTATGTTTCATTTTAGACATGTTCTCACTGTGCAGTCCAGGATAGCTTAGGACTCACTATGTAGCCCAGGCTAACTTCATTTAATCTTCCTGCCTCAGCATCCCCACCGACTCCCAAGAACCGGGATTACAGATGTGCACCACCACAACCAGCCTGTTCTAGTTTTTCCTGTTTGTTCCTGCACATTAATCTCCATGACAAAAATAAAATGCTGCTTTTCTAAAATGAAAAGTTATTTTAAAGCTAATTTAGGGACAACAATATGCTCAGAAAGTACTTTTATTCCTAGGCAGGAACAAAATCTATTTAATCCGAGGGAAGGAACGGAGATGGGGACAAGAGGATACTTAGGGGGATGCTGGTATAGAGATTATGGAACTGGCAAAGCATCAATCACAACAGAGTCCTGGTGGAATCTTGAAGATATCAGACATGGTGGGCATGAGATGTGATGGGAAAAGGGAAAGAGAACACACAAAAGACCAAGTAGCAAGCAAATATAGAGAAGAAACCACACATGATGCCGCCCACAATGCAAACCAGACTATTCAGAGAAAAGAAAAGAAAATGTAGTAAAGAGAGTAGGAATAGACATCCCTTAAAGTTCTATTCAGCAGCCTCCTAACTGCACTTCCCATTGCTAGGATTTCCCTACCAAATCAGTTCTTAAACTGCTCTCTACCTAAATCATAGTAACCTTTCAAAAAAAAAAAGCATGTGCATCAGAGCAGTGCCTCAGAGGTCCTGTGGATCTGCGTCTTGCTTCAACAGGGTTTGGATGGAACAGACCCAGGGACTCCCTCTCGATTAGCTTCCAGGTGCTTTTCAGACTCTCCAGTCACCACCTTTGTAGCCAACTCCTCACTGCCCTGGGCTCCTAGGACCAGCCAGCACCCTCCACATGGCCGCTCAGCCATGACCTCCCAGATTCGTTAGAATTATTCCACCGAAGTGGAAGCTGCCGTGAACCTCCTGGTCAACTTGCACCGCGAGCCGGACCCCCAACACCTACACCTCTCTGAACTACTATTTTGATCCGGATGTGTGGCTCTGGAGGGTGTAGGCCACTTTTGAGAATTGGACAAGAAGTGTGAGGGCACCAAGTGTCTCCTCAAGTTTCAGAACGACTGATCAATTGATCGATTGCACTGCACCCCCATCGATCAATCGCACTGCCCCCGTGCCCATACTCTTCCAGGAGGTGCAGAAGCCATCTCAAGATGAGTGGGGTAAAACCAGGAGACCATGGAAGCTGCCTTGGCTCTGGAGAAGAACCGGAATCAGGCCATGCTGGATCTTCATTCCCTGGGTTCTCCTCGCACAGATCCTCATTTCTGTGACTTCCTGGAAAACCACTTCCTGGATGAGGAATTGAAGCTCATCAAGAAGATGGGCAACCACCTGACCAGCCTCCAAAGGCTGACGGGACCACAGCCAATACAGACTGGCCTGCCCGAGTATCTCTTTGAGCGGTTCATTCTCAAGCATGACTGGGACGCCTTGCCTTCCACGGGCTCCCTCCTCTGCTCTGCACCAGCCAGCCTCAGGACCTTCATCTGAGCGTTTCAAGCCACTAGGCAGTTTTGTAAACACCCTGGGGTCCCTCCCAAGTCTTTAACCAAGTGAAAACAAAGCAAAAAAAAAAAAAAAGAAAAGAAAGAGAAAGAAGGAAGGAAGGAAAAGCATGTATGTACACACACACACATCTGAAGCTCCCCAAAATGCAATACAGTTTCTTGTCATTTTTCTTGGTTGCCCACAAAAACCAGATGATGAACTCTATTACTAAAGACACTGCACAGCTCAGTTGATGGTATAGAGAAATCCAGCTGGAACTCAGCTGGACGATTCCTCTCTGCTGTTAGCTTTTATAACCCTGGAAGATACTATGCAGGCTGCTGTGGGAGAAATGTTATTCATGGTCTCACCCAGCTGTGAACTATATTAACCTGCCAGGCAGGAGGTGTGAGAATATCCAATCTGTTCTGCCTGGATTTGAGGTTGGCTCTGTAGGAAAAAGGGGCCAGCCAAAGAAACATACCCTGAGGATAGCCAAAGAAACACACTTTCACCCTGCAACCAGAGTCAAAGAAATGCACCATGAAACTAGTGCCAAAGAAACACACTTTGGCTCTAGAATCAAAGCCAGTGAAAGAAATATGCCCTGGACCTAATTAGAGCCAAAAGGAAAAAAAAGGACCAGTGAAAGAAACACACTTTGGTCCTAAAACCAGAGTCAAATCTGACTTTAAACCTAGCAGAAAACAAACCAATCCCTGAGCACAAGATCTAGCCAATCTGAGCTCAAGGACCGAAATCTGACTAATCCCCACCCTGGAAATCTTCTCCCTAGAAAACTCCGCCCCCTAAGAAGCCCAATATAAACCCTATGCCTGTTCAAGGTGGCAGAGGACAGCCACTCTACTAGATTCTTCCCTTCCAATACATCTCTTGAATGGAGTTTGGGTGAGACCTTCCTTTGCCAGAATGGAGTGGAAGAAAGAAGTAATAATGTTTCACCAGAAGCAGAGCAGAGAGGAGAGGTGCAGGGCTGTAACACTTTCCCAGGGAAATCTTCCCCTTCCAAAGCAGAGTTGTCACACTACACTCTGGGGGGACCCAGCTACTTCCTGACTACTTCACTGGGGAAACCCTCTCCTACTGGAGCAGAGCTGTTACACTGGGGAAGCCTTTCCCTGGAGCAGGGCTGTAAGTTGCTATGCTTACTGTAATCTGTGGTATTCCTTGGCTCCTGCTTACCAGAATACTTTTCCATCTGAGCTGTAACATTCGGTATTCTGTGGCTCCTGTGTGCCAGAATACCTTCATCTGAGCTGTAATGCTTACAGAGCAAATCCATGCCTGGTACTGTAAGCCTGGTCAAAAACCCATAGCAGATAAAATCATAGATCCTAAGAGGAACCCTAAATCCACTGTTGAGTTAGACTGGCAGTGTCAAACCACCTTCTAAATATTGGTACCCATAGACAATGCCACTCTCATCCTTAATCAGAGATGTATCTCTTTCCAATGGACAGTAGTGAATACAGATACTCGTGGTGACACCAGGTGCTGAGAAGTGACGGAAGAGTGCTCAGCCCCAAACAAGACACTGATAGCACCCGTTTTGAAGGCTCGAGGAACAAGGCAGCAGAGGGGGTGGAAAAATACAGGAGCCAGAAGATAGAGCAAAGGACGACAAAATGCCATTTTCTGGGCAAGACCCGGGCATTGCAGTCATAAACTCACTGCAGCTTCGGATGCGCCTAAGACTAGGGCCCATCAACAGCTAAGGGAGGACTCAGAGGGACCCATACCTGGCTAACGATCGGTGGAAGGGGAGTCATTGTCTTCAGTTGTGTGCTCACTGGTGCCCCCACCAAGATCCAACAAGTAGTTGCAATCCAATGCTCATTCGTCTGGTCTGGTTAAGTTAAATGGGTCATAAAACCAAACCAAAAATTTCCCGAATCTGGAAAGCGCACTGGTAGGGATGTGGGGGTCAGAAGGAATGCTAAGTTAGTAGGGGTGGGAGGGGCATACGGAAGGTGAAGGAAAGAGTAATCAGAATGCATTACAAGCATGTAGCAGAACAAAATATTTTTAAAAGCAATCTTCATACTATTAATTTGCTTATAAGAGTCCGTTGATCTCGGGTTAAATTCATCTTAAGCCAGTTTACACCTCCGGATTCTTCTCTGGGTGTGCTTACACCTTGTCACACCAACATGCAACCTACAAACCTAGTGTTCCACATATACTGAGCTGACAATGCCAAGTTGCACTTTGGAGAGTGCCCAGGAAGCCTGCTCGGGTTCCTTAAGCCTGCATTAGGTGCTCTCACTGGGACCTCATGGTGAAGGGGTTTCCTCGCGGTTGGCATGGGCTCACCTCTTACCTCAGAAGCCAAAGCCGACTTTGAGCTGTCACAGCCGAGCTGCCCGATAAATCAGCTGACTTCTTGCTTGTTTTTACAGCCAGCAGATTCTCTTTGGCTGATTCGCTACCCTCTGTTCCCCTTTCCTCACTCCCCAAAGAAAACTTCAACCCAAGAGCCCCTTTATTTAATTTTTCTTTAAGTTAATCGTTATAAAATTTGGAGGAGTGTTACTACTTTTATACTCTATTTTAGAGTCGGTACCAAATCGCTGTGGTGACGAAAGTGCAGAGCCAACACAAACACTGGATCTGGACCGACAGGATCCGGAATGGCGTGCACCGGGAAAGGTGTGTGAGCGCAGGCGCGCTCTTCTCAACACGCAGGCGCCGCCTCCGGCAGGCGAGCAGTGATTGGCGGGCTGGCGCAGCGGGGCGTGGAGCGCAGTGTCTGGGTTTGGGCGGGAATTGAAACCGCCGCAGCTGCTCTCCAGCTCCTGAACCCTGCGACTGTGGGCTGAGAACGGGCACCATGGTGCGCCCTACCAGGTGAGTCGCTGGTGACGTCCCGCGGGGCAGGGAGGAAGCGCGGGGACACGCTTGAGGCCAGTGTCACCCAGGGTTGACGGAAGGCAGCGGGTGGGTGGATGACCGCCGCCAGTCTCTGGTGAGAGCCACCGCTGCTGAGCGGCCGACCCAGCATCCTGCTTCCCCCCTCTCGGCCTCCCCTTGCAGCTGTTGCCCGCTCACCCGCCCTATTCCCGGCAGGTTAGCATTTGAGCCGCGCTTTGCGTTACAGCGAGCGACCATGTGTGTGGCCTTCATGTGCTCAGCACTGCAGCCCCCAAGCAGGCATGCCTCTTTTGTGGCCCTCAACCCCTAGGCAGAAAGGCCCATTTAAGTTGTAGTGACCTGTCACGTCCCTCCGTTCCTCCAGTTCCGTTGTACAGTTGTGATCTACTGTCCGTGATCACGGCTGGGATGCTAGGCCATCCATCCGTTTAGCAGGATTACCGAGTATAACTGAAGCTATGGGGAGTGATTGATCGCCTAGTACGTGAAAGTCCCTGGGTTCCATCCCTAGTACTGTACAACCAAACAAAACTAAACTTGCTGAATTCACTTAGTCCTGTACTGTGGAAGATGGGGCAGCGTCAAAGTAAACACCACAATGTCACCCAGTGGGAGGGAGGAACCTTACTTCAGAGAGCAGAGAGTCATCCAGACAAAACATAAGAGGCATTCTCAATCGATAAGTAGAAGCCAAGGCCCTGAGCGTGACCATGTTTGAGAAAAGACTTTGGATTTTATTCTAGACCAACGGGAGATCAGTCGTTTTAGTGTAGGCAGGTAGACCCGAGTGGGAGCAGGCGTGGCCAGAGTGGAAGGCTAACGTTTCACCAGATTGTGATTTGGCACAATGCGTGGCGATGGAGCAGGTGAGTTTAGGTACTTCTGACAAGTGGATACGGAGGTGAGGAGACGAGGACAGATCAAGGTTGATGACTTACGGACTGAGCTACATAGTGGACGACTTAGGGAATGAGCTACATAGTGGGTGATCTTTGTATTGACTGAGATGGGAAAGTCTAAGATAATGAGGTTCAGAAGGTAGATTTAGACTAGATTTCTGTTATGTGGTGAAGTTGAAAGGGACAGACATACAGATAGTGAAGACAATGATGTTGGTATTATGTAGTAGTCAAAGTGTGGCCTGCAGCCTCTAGGGTCCCCTGAATCCTCAGGTCTGTGAGATCATGACGTGTGTGTGTGTGTGTGTGTGTGTGTGTGTGTGTGTGTGTGTGTGTGTTTTAATTATTTTGTGTACATGATAGGGGTGGGAATGGTGCTACACATTCCGTATCTTGAATGTGGAGGTCAGTGGATAACTTTGGAGTCATTTCTCTCCTGTCACCTTTTCTTGGATTCTGAAGTTGAGGTTAGGCATCAGGATTGCACAGCAGTGAGCTTTACAAGCCAAGTATCACTAGCCCATCACTTTTGTTACAGTAAAACCAAGGCATTGTTTTCACTCTTCTGTGCTTTGCACTACATTAGTGATAGGACTGTTGGTACCTTAACACAAATTGAGGCGGTGACCTCACACTCTGATGGTAGAGTTATTGCAATTTCTATGGCCACGTACTCAGATTTTTAAAAAGAGAAACATTTATGGGCTGGGGAGATGGCTCATTAGTTAAAAGAGTGCTTACTGCACTTCCAGAGGACTCAGGTTCAGTTCCCAGCACCCAGTTCAGACAGCTCACAACCCTTCTAGCTCCAGGACATCCAGTGCCCTCTTCTGGCTTTCAGATATTATAATCATATGCATATACCTGCACACACACACAATTAAAAATCATTTTTAAAAATAATGGTTTTCTGCATATCTCTCACCCTACTGAGTTTCCAAAATACAATAGGTAATTTGTGTTTCATGAACCAATAAGAATTAATGTGTGTGTTATACCTCAACCTGAGTATACTTACCTTTTTAGGAGGCTTTTGGTTTTATGCCTCTTTTATGGCCCTCAACCCCTAGGCAGAAAGGACCATTTAAGTTGTAGTGATGTGTCACATACCTCCAGTTCCTCCAGTTCCATTGTACAGTTGGGATCTATTGTTTTTAAAGATGCTGTCATATTTCATGCAGCTGTCAAATTTTTAAACTCTGAAGAGTGGGAGAGTGGCATGAACACCTCCTTTAATGTGTTTGAGGCTATGGGAAGGCACACACTGTGTTTCACCAAAAGAAACACCTATAGGTGTTTAGTATGAGCTGGACAAGCCTTTTTCAAAGAACTCCCATTTTTGCTTGAAAGAGCAGGCAACTGTAAACAACAAGCTTGTTTATATGGGGTACTTATTAGACAACAGAAGGGAAAACTGGACAACTTTGCATTGCTTTCCTAGAGGAGAAAAATTAACCTTTTTGTATTGAATACCTTTTCCTCTGCCTACTTTAGTTCCCACAAAGATGGTTGGGACAAACTGTTTTAAAGTGTCCATCCCATTAAAAAGACATTATTTGGTATTATAGAAAGATTTATTTTAAATATTTATTTTGTTTTTAGGGGTGTGTGTGTGTTTCTGTGTGTCTTTGTGTCTGTGTAGGTGTGTGGATCTGAGTGCAAATGCCTGAAGAAGTCAGAGGGTTTTTAACCCCTACAGCTGGAGTTCCAGGTGGTTATGGGCTGCCTGGCATGGATGCTGGAAGCTAGATTCAGGTCCTCCGAAGGAGCAGTACATATTCTTAACAACTGTGACTCCACCTCTGAGGGATTTTTTAAAGATATGTTAAAACTGAAGGGATACTTTATAATGTAAACAAAGAACGATTACAAAGGAATTTATAAGTGCCCAGTAGCCACTAAACAGAATATAAGTTTTAATTGATAATTATTTGTATTCTTCTAATGTTGGGGGTTTCCTGAATTATTTTTTTGCCCACATCATGTCTATTAAGTATGACAATTTTTTTTTTTTTTTTGGTTTTATGAGACAGGGTTTCTCTGTATTGTTTTGGAGACTGTCAGTCCAACCCGGCCTCGAACTCACAGAGATCCGCCTGCCTCTGCCTCCCGAGTGCTGGGATTAAAGGCGTGTGCCACCACCGCCCAGCTAGGTATGACAATTTTCTTAGTGTTAAATGCAAATAATATTTTGGATTAAAGTACTTCTAAGAGACTTCAAACTCATTTTCCATTCTTCAAGACTATTAATAACTTTAAGGTGAAAGTAAAAAATTAATATTTGTATTAATGAAGATTTTGTCTTGATCATAGAAATAGAAAACCAGTTAATTACTCACAGTTTGAGGACTCTGGTGGTGACTCTGATGGTAAGTAGAGCTTTTTAGTTTTGCTTAACAGATTGAGAAATTTTTTCCTCAGAGTTAGATACAGAAAAATTAGACCCTGAAAGCTTAGGCTTAAGCTTTGCTGTATTACGTTTGTGTTTGTTGTTAGAACTTTGATCAAAGTTAGAGAAACATTTCACTGAGTTGCAGTGTATTTGTAGTAGAATACTTTTTTCCTCTGTGTGGGATGTGTGTGCTGGCAAATTAGTCCCAGGGCCTCCCAATGCTTAGTAAATACCCTACCACTGAGCTGTCACCTCACCCTAGAAGTACATTATTACACTTCTTTCCACACCAGCGTAGTTTCCTTTAAGTCAAACACTTTAGCAGTTTCTCTATTCAGAGAAATCTCTTTTGCATTAAGTGTGTCTACAACTTGAGAAAAAAATAGTATAGCAGATAACTTTTAACCTCTATCACTGTCAAAGCTCTGTGATCAGGTACTTACAGGTTGCCAATTGTGTTCATGATACGAGGTGGGGTAGAATGTGCAAAAAATTACAATTATATTTCTGTATGTGGAAGCACAAAAGAACATGTTAAATTTTTCTAAAAAGCATGCGATCCTACAGGTACACATTGGTGTCATACGTGGGGTTTTTTGCGTGTCCCTAGAAGAACCACAGGGGACTTGATGTGTAGGACTGAAAAGGCTGTGAGAAGCAGCAGTGGGTTGGGAGAGTTGATGAGAGCAGAGGAAGGCTCTGGGTATCAGATAGAAGCTGTTGTGGAGTCAGTTGGCCTTGTCAGTGGTGCTTCCTGTTTCCATAGGCTTGGTTTTTTACCACTGATGTACCTTTGTAAACATGCTGGGCTACATTGTGAAGTTCAGTTAAATCATTTCCTTCCAATTTCCCTAATGATTCTGTGGGTTTTTAGTTAATTGTTATGACTTGTCTTAACCTATCTTTGTAGTTTGCAGTGACTTGGATTTTGATAGGTTGATATTTTTAAAACACAGGCCACCATTCATCTTGATATAGATGAGTGAAAGTAGAGACAATTTGTTTTATTAATTGTTTTAAGGTGTAGAAATTAAACATGATTATGCATAAAATGTGAATAAATGAATTTTAGCTGCCAAGAAAATAATTTTCCTTCTTTATAATTTATGCAAACATAGATGATTTTATTTCGGCAACCATGCCTAGAAACAAAAAGTCCAAAACCTTGCCAAAGGAGTTAAAGCAAGACAAACCAAAACCTAACTTGAAGACTCTTCAAAAAGAAGACATCCTACCAGCAACAGCCCCTAAAAAAAGGTGAGAGGTAAGACACAGAAAATGCATGGTGTCCGTCAGACTTGCTCATTCAGTACCTCAGTTGAAATGGGAATTTGGGTGGGTGGTGAGTGGTGGTGCCACTTAGTGCTTTCTGACATCCTCACTTGAAAAATAAATTCACAAACATAAAAGGAAAAAACTGTAACATTAAACAATGATGTTACTAACTCTACCTATTTCAGCCCCTTCAAATCTCAACGAAGCTACTTTGTTGAAAGGATAAGTGTAAAGGCAGTTTTAAAACAAACGTTTTAAACCATTTTGTCCCTGTAGATAAAAGATACTTTCTCACTATCCTGCGTGATTTGTCCAACAAAGAGAAGGTCCTATAATGTCTAGACTAACCCTGACATCTCATCATTTGGTACCAAGAGGGAGAAGGCAGTCCTAAGAGACCCCAAAATTATAATGCAGAAAGGAAGGGGTGGAGACAACATTTTCAGATACAACTTAAGTAATTTGCATCCAAAGTATATAAAGAACACTTCAGCTCTGCAGTGAATAGGCTGGTAGTCCAACCTCAACATATAAAATCTGAATGAGCATTTCTCCAAAGTTACAGAAGTAATCAGCAAACACAGGAAAAGATGCAGGGCATCTTTAGCTGTCAGGGAAACAAAAGGGGAAACCACAGTGTGATAATTCTTCTCACCCACTAGGTGGTGCTAGTGAGTGTTAGTGAAGATGTGGCAAAATCTAAACTTTCAGACATTGCTGCTGGTAGGATTGTAGAATGGGTGCAGGTACCCAAGAAAATAGATTAACATTCTTCATTATATTAAACATAGGACTATTCTATGCATGGCTTACATAGTACCCAAGGAAACTGAAAATATGCCCGCTTCTTGTCAATGTTTATAACAATGTTCATAGTATTAAAAACAGGAAGGCAACTGGATGGCTGTGAGTCAACAATTGGTTAAATAAAATGAGTTCTCTGTCATGGACACAGCCACAAAAGATAACCAACATATGAATGATAACAACAATGTGAATGAGCCTGGAAATGTCATGCTTTCTACACCAGGCACAAAGCCACATATTACATATGATTCCACTTGTGTGAAGTGTCCAGAATAAATTAATCCGTGTAACCGAAGATGGATTACTAGTTGTTTGAGACTGAGAGAAGGGTGGCGATGTCCCAGTTAGCATTTCTACTGCCATGCTAAAACACCACAGACAAAAGCAAAATGGGGGGAAAGGGTTTCAGCTTAGAGTTACACAGCATGGTCCATCACTTAGAGAAGTTAGAACAGGAATCTGGAGGCAGGAGCTGATACAGAGGCCATGGAGGAATGCTGCTTTCTGGCTTGCTCTTTGTGACTTATTCAGCCTGCTTTCTTCTAGTACCCAGAATCACCAGCCCAGATATGACACCGCCCACAGTGAGTTAGGCCCTCCCACATCAAGAAAATGTACCACAAACTTACTCGGTAGTCTATCTGCTGGGGGCATTTTCTTAATTGAGGTTCCCTCTTCCAAAATGACTGTAAAGTGTGTCAGTTTGACATAAAACCAGCGCACGCAGGGTAATCAGGAATGTCTGCTGATGGGTGTGGATAATGAAGTGTTCTAAATTAGATGATGCTTTCAAAACTCCAAAGATACTGAAAGCTGCTGAATTATCTCCTTTAAAATGATGGGTTTTATGGGGCTATGGATAAGTTCTTGTCTTCTGTGCAGGAGTTCCTAGATTTTATTCAGCAGGAAGACCAGAAATTATACTTTGCTAAGTTTTGAGGGCAACTTAAGATACATGATGCCCTGTCTCAAGGAGAAGAGGAGGGAAAAGAAAACTATAATACATGAATTATATCTCAATAAAACTTCTTGAGTTTCATACATGCATAGAATTATTAAGACCATATTCATCCCCACCAGTATAATTTACTTAAAAAATAATAGTTCTTCATGGTACATTTCAGTTTTCTTCCCTTTTGTAATTTTTCCTTATATGTCTTTGTGTTTTCCTGTTATAATCATTAGAACGATGGGTCAACTTGAGCGGGAAGGCTTTACAATCTGCCTTTTGGGGACTAATTATTTGTATGGCTTATTTCTCCACCTTCCTAATTCACCTTGAAGACTCCTTGAGAGTACTTTTAGTATTCCGTGACTTGATAGGAGTCTCAAGTCAGTCAAAGACATGTTAGGAACATTTTTGGAAGGTAGCTGAAAGTTTTTAGATTTAATGGTATTAGTGCTCTAATTGAAATTAAAACTCCATTGTTTCACACATCTATTTTAGGATGGCTTTAGATGACAAGGTCTTCCAGCGAGGCCTAGAAGTTGCCCTGGCTTTATCTGTGAAGGATCTTCCAACAGTCACTGTGCAGAATTCTCAAGAGAAAAGTAACTCTATTTCCTGTGTTTATCTTTAAAAAGTGTCTTACAGTTTTTGTGATCATTTTTAGGGCAGACCTTCACAGAGGAAGGAATGCATTTAATCTGTAAAAGGAGCACTTGGCAGAGGGCACCTATGGATTCAGTTCTTTATTCAGCTCTGTCAGTGTCCCACACAGACATCTCTTTGCTCGGCACGTAAAAAAGCCCGGGACTTACTCTGTGACAGCATGATGCTATGTCATAAGAGTCCAATCTTGTCAAAAGATCTGTACAACCCTAGCACTCCAATTTCTTAGCTTTTAAATCTAAATTTCTTGAACATGACCTAATAGTGATAATTTGTGTGATCTATTAAGATTAGAAACACCAACCTTCATAGAAAGTTCAATAGACTTCAGAGTATGACTTTTAGATTTCTCTGTGATTTTTCACCTCTGAAGTTTTTTTTCTGTAACTGTGTAGCATATGATGAAATGGGTGAGTCTTTTACTTTTTAAAGTTATTTACTTCTTTAAAAATCAATCATTTTGATTGTGAAGACGATTAATCAGGAATCAGATTTCGAGCGTGTTACCGTGTACTGTATCTAAAATTAGGGGAACAGAACTCATCTGAAGAGACTGGAGTGTATAGCAGGAAGTTTTCTTAGAAGTAGCCCCCACTGAGTAATGCTCTTAATAGCATAGGGACGTACTGTTGTCAAGATCGTCATTTAAAGGTCAATGCAGGGTGCGTACATACTGTGCAAACACTCTAGCTCCTTATCGTTTTTTAGATTGCAATGATTGGAAAGAGTTTGTGTCAGTTTCTTCTCTGTTGCTGTGATAAAATACCATGACCAAGAGCAGTTTATAGAAGACAGTTTATTTTGGCTTGGGGTTCCAGATAGTTAGGAGTTTCTAATGGCAGGGGGAGCATGGCAGCAGGTGTAGGAGCAGTAAGCTGGCTGACCCTATTCACACCCAGGGAAGTGAGAGAGTGACTTGGAAAGGAACTGAGGCCTCCAGTGACTTCCTTCCTTCAGCAAAGCTCCACATCCCAAACAGTGCTGCCAGTGGGGTCCAAGCGTTCAAATATGTGAGCTTATGGGCACAGTTCTCATTCAAGTCACCACAGAGCTTAAATTGGCATGAGCATGAATTTGTCCATACAGAAATAATATTTATTGATTGTATTTGACCATATAAGCAGTTGCCACTTGAATTTAATCTTCTACAATAATCATATAAGATGTTATCTTTGTATTATAGACAGGGAAATTAAATCTAGAGAAGATAAACAAGTTTACATATGGAATTTGACTGTAAACCTGAGTCTTATTTTAGAGCCCACACTCGTAATATGTGTTAGCTCCTCCAAGTAAAACCACTGGGCTGCTATGAGTCTGGGATGGTTCATCCCAGTCTGTGTGTTTGTATGTTCCATTGGTTATATTCCTGCTTTTTAGACCCTGACTGATTAGGATGCATCTGAAGTTCTTTGCTTACTTCCTACGGTAGGCACTGACAGCCAAGGTGATAGGAAAACAGAAATAACGGATCAGTCTCCTGTCTCTAACTGCAGTGTAGCCAGTGATAATTCAGGTAAGTTTTGATGTTTATAACGGTTCATTCACAGTGCTATTTTTCTAATTTGTTTAAGTTCCTGTGCCTGTTAAGTTCCTGTGTCCCAAGACTCTGTCCCGTGGCCTTTGTTTCTTTATGCTTTAGTCTTATTCTCTCTGACAACAGACCTCTTTTCTTCCCACTGGACAGTCATGACCACTCAGGCCCTCCACTGCACAACAGGTGACCACTCAAGGGCTGCATCTTCCCAGTACCATCTGGAAAGTTCTTTGGCAATGATTTTTAGAGTCTCAGACTAACCCTTAAAACCAGAGTCTGTTGCTGGGAGAGTGATGGACTTCATCCCAGCATGGCCTGTGTAGTGTGGTATTGGAATCAGAGGAAGACAACAGGGGTCGTAGAGTCCGCCCAGAGTTCTCACTCATGTTCCTGTCTCCAGAAAATTTGGCCAAGATTGTGGAGGACAAGGATGCCGGCAGTGTTGGAGGAGAGAAAAAAATAACGTCTAAAACCGAGGCTCGGCGGAGGAGGGTGCCTTCGGGAGGCAGTGATGGCAGCAGTGCTAATGACACTGAGCCGGACAGTGCAACTGGTGAGTTACATCCTGCTTCAAGCTCATTCTGGGGATTCAGAAAAACTTCTTGGCGAGTAGGATGTGTGCAAAGCACTGTGTTGAGCCTTTGACATCTGTAAAAGAGTTAAGCTGAGCTTAGCCATAAAGGGAGAAACTGGAGGGATAGCCTTTAAACCTTCTCTGGACAAACAAGCAGCAAGACCAAGGGACAAAGTCACATTTCTGAGCAGTGGGACAGACAAGCAGATTCAATGGGAATCTTGGGAAGAGGCCGAAGAGACAGGCTGGGCTGCCACTAGCTATGAAGCAACTCAACTGTTCTAAGAGGTTTCAGCTTTTCTATAACTAGTAGAAACTTAGAGAGTATTTTGAGTTGAAAGTGCTATGAAACAATTTTATTATCAGTTGTTTGCAGACTTAGTAGAAATTAGGGCAAAGAGAAAATGTGGTGACTTTGACAACATCATAATATGTTAAAAATTTAAAAGAATAAGTCTGTACCAATCAGATACAACATTTTAGATTTTAACCTTCTGTTAGCAAATAACAGACCTATTCATCAACACTCACTGAACAAATATTTGATGCCTATGGTGTTTACTATATTGTAGGTGCTAGGCAGATAGTAATGAGCAAAACTATTCAAAATATAAAGAGGCGTCACAGACAGTAAATGCATAGGTAATGTTTTTAGAGTTATGGTGTGGAAGCTGAAGGGCCTCAGGCAGCTTGATGGTAGGACTCTTGTCTAGCAAGTGTGGTTTCCAGGGTTTGTGCCCTGGGACTGTAGAAAATAAAGCACTACAGAGGAAGTGGGGGTTATAAAAGCCTGGTGGGAATGAAGTTACTTCATGTCAGAAGAGGCTGGATTTGTGCTTAAAAACTGCTTTCACAGAGGCAAGAGCATCCCTAGTGTGTTGAGTGACAGTGAGGCCCTTGCAGACGAGGCAACAGAAGTCTCACTTTTTAAAATAAAGACAGAATATGTAACTGTCTATTTTAGGTGAAGATTCAGAAAATGATTCTAATTTTGATGAGAGTGAAGAAAGTGATGAAAACTTTTCAGTAAGAAAAAATAAAGTTAAAGAAACAAAGAAGAAAGCAGTGCAGAGAAAACCGGCAGTGGAAAAAGAAAAGAAATCAAAACACAAATATGAGGCATCAGGTAAGCCTGCTCCCAAGTTCATCATTTTCTAGAGTCCTGTTGTTGTGTTTCCGGATCTTTGCCTTTGTCATCTGCAACATTTTGCTAACACTCATCTCTAGTTAAAAGGAATCCTGGATGGGGAGAAAAGCTGAGAACACTGAGCCCTAGTAGCCACATGGACAGTGAGTGTGAACCCTCCACCCGTTAGCACACAGCCATCCCTGCAAACGCCGAGCCCACATCTTACCATCAGAACACTGACATTCAGAGCATCTCCATATGTGTTGGAATTGTATGCATCAGTGAGGATCAGGAGGTCAATCCCAGATTTGCTCGTTTAGAGGCTGGACCATGCTGTCTGGATGTTTACAGTGAGGCCTGCATGAGCTTAAGTCCTTGCTTTCCTGCACACATGATCTCTGTTTGAGGACCCATTTGCAACATCTTAGTGTCATTATTACAGTGAGAATTTGTGACAACTTGGACATGGAACACCTGTTTCTTATGTTCAAAAGTTAGATTACTTTTGAGCCTTTATTATACAATAAATTATTACAAAATGCTACACCAATTTTTTACTTTACTTTCTCAGTCCTCCTGCCTCAGTCTTCTGGCAGGTGTCTTATTAACATGACCAAGTAAGAAGTTTTTAACATGGAAGTCGCTTCTGAGAAAACGTAATATTGTGAAAGCCAGACTTCTTACATGGCCTGTGGGTCCATGACAGTACCGATAGTACTCCTCACCTTTCCCACCTTCAGATTCCTGCTCCCCCCACGTTAAATCAGTACAGGAGCTTGTACTCTGTCATTGCCCACTCTACTCTCTGCCAAGAAAACTTCCCTTCACTCATCTTCACACACACACACACACACACACACACACACACACACACACACACACACACGTCATGATTCGGCTCAGCCCATGAGTGTCTCCTGCACCTCCTAAACACACACGAAATCCAAGGCCCCTCCTACTGAGCATTCCTGGAACCCAGCACGTTGCAGTAGACGCAGCTCTTCACTTTGCTATCCTCCCACTGGTGTGCGGTGCAGGACAATAAGTTCCTTGAGAACAAGCCGGCCACATAGTGTGTTCTTTGTAACCCTTGGGTCTTCAACACTGCTCCAGCACATACAGAGGAGGCATTATTTGTAAATGGCTACAAGTATGACCTTTGATGTCAAACCTTGTTTCTAATAAGTGTTCCAAAAACAGCTGTCAAACTGCAGGCAAATTGCCTAACCTCTCTGTTCACTTATGTGATAGTAGCTTAGTGATCCTGAGGTGGGAGTTGTCATAAAGGATGAAAGTTCATGTCTGGCACATTGCCTGGCACAGAAATGCTCATCCAAAGTCATGGTCCTTAGGCTTGCTGTCAGTGATGTTTGGTCTTTTGAGACCCTCACACTTTGTAGCCCATGCTGGCTTTGAGTTTGAGATCTTCTGCCTCAACCTCTAGAGTACTGGGATTTCAGGAAGGAACTACTTCACCTGGACAGTAAATGTTTTTTATTTGTTTGTTTTTTCCAAATTTGTAATCTGTGTCTTCTGAATTTTTGGAAGTTATGAGACTTCATCATATACATATATATGATGTTAGGTGTGAACATTATCTTCCTGTATGACAGTTGGTTGTGAACATTATCTTCCTGTATGACAGTTGGTTTTGTTTTGGTGTTTTTTGTTTTGTTTTATGTGATTCAATGACTTCAATAGATGTGGCTCCAGCTGCCATCAAGTCAGGATTGCCATCCTTACCCCAGGCAGTTGGACTTCCCTCTGAGCCCACTAGGAAACCAGCAAAAATGTGCAGCCCTTCAGCTGAAGGCAAGAGACCCAGGTGGGTCCCACCAGGTACGGTAATTTGCTATCAAGGGTACCAGCATAGAAAGCTGCCATTGGTAGCTCTTTCCTAGTCACAGGAATTATGTGTGAATAGGTTCCTTGTTATTTCACATCCTTCCAAACCAGTGTTTTTATTGCTTCAGTTTATCGTCTTACTATTTCCTTGTTAGGCTTCAAGGTTGAGTATGATTCATTACTATAAATAAAACTGCAGATAACAGAGACATGCTTATTTAAAAAAGCTGCAGACATATCCGACTATCACAGAGTCAAGGGGCATTAGTGAAGATATATATATATCCCCACAACAGAATTTTGGCTCAAGACCTGTTGCCCTCTACAGTTTCAGGGTCCTCAGGCCTGGGGCATTTGAGCATTGTAACATATAAAAAATATTAATGCCTTGCAAACATGAATTTGTATATATATATATATTTTTTTTTTTGCTTCGCAGCCAGAAAAGATGAAGGCATTTTAGAGTTGGGGTTTCAGATTATGGTGCTTGTCTGCCCTGTGCTTTTCCTGAGCTCCAGTGTGGGGTCATTCTTTTGATCTGGTGCTGCCCCTGGTGGACTCTGTCGAGCAGAACACCACCTAACTGCTTGTTTGCCTGTGTTTTCTTGCAGCCGCCTCCGGAAGCAGAAGCTCCAGCAGCAGCCCACTGGCAGGAGCATCCACCAAGTCCCCGAGTCAGAGCCTCCGCCTGGGCCTCTCCCGACTAGCACCAGTTAAGCGTTTGCACCCAAATGTCACAAGTAGCCAAGTGCGGTAGCGGGAAAGGACCCCTGGGACCCTCAGTTGTATTCCGCTTGTACGTGGAGAACCCTTTAATGAGTCCCATGAAGGATCTCTGCCTGTTGTGTGATTCTGGTCTCAGCAGAGCTTTTCTGTCCTTCAGCGAAGGGTTCTTGAGGGTTCTCCTCATGCCATTCCTAAAGAATGTTGTGTTTTCCTGTTTCATAAGTCACTGTCACTTGTGGCTCTGGCACATCTGTTCAGAGTGTCTGTCTGGCAAGAGGGCATCTGGGTTCCTTCAGGAGGAGTTTCTGAAATCTTTCCCACTACTACATTTCTTTAGGCTTATTATTACCTTGCTGTTTTTCCAGGTCCTCCTTAGTGAGAATTCTGCTTTTGTGCATATTAAAATGATTACTATACTACAGCATGGTTATCATATAATGGATAGAATATAGTAAAACTTTATGAACTTTGTCAAAACTTTTAATAAAAGTGAAAATGTTTAAAGTGTCTTCTTTGATACCATGTATCCACCTATCTATCTACGTTTGGTAAAATGAGTCTTCAGGTGAGTCTTCATTGGTCAACATAAGCAAGGAGAAGCAGTGTCTTCATCACTTCAGATTAAGTCAAAGTTTGGAAGACTGGCTCTTAACTTGTCACCCCTGTATTAGCTAATGTAGCTTTTCAAGAAATTTAGATTCATTGTCAATAAAAGTAATTATTTTTATGATGAGAATATCAACTTGCTCCTATCACTTTTTAATAAAAAATTTAAAGTTTACTATAAAATGTGCAATTCTTCGCCTAGTTCACAGCTATGAGACATCTGTGTTACCATGAGAAGAAGCAGTTTTGAATTATGATTAAAGTAGCATTAGCCTATTGTCTTTTGTATGTTTTCTTCTTATCTCATATATATATTTACACCATCATTCACCACCTTACCAGCTCCACCAGTCCCCCCTTGAAACCCCAATCTTCAGTTGGTGTTCTGTGTGGTTTGGGTCTGGGTTTTGAGACAGGGCTTCCTATATAGCCCAGGCTGTTCTTGAACTCAAGGCCATCCTGCCACAGCCTCCCTAGTAGTGGTTGCTTCCACACCACCTAGTTACCTGGGAGTGAGTTAATTTGTATGCTTTGAACAATAATATGTTAAGTGATACTAACTACTCACTGGCCCTCACTTGAGGGACTTGGTTTTTCTTGTGATCCATATTATCCTTGGTATTTAAAAGTTCTCTCAGGGCAGGAGAGATGGCTCAGTACTTAAGAACACTTGCTGCTCTTGCAGAGGACCTAGATTTGATTTCCAGCACCCACATCTAGTGCCTTAAAACTATCTGTAACTCCGGTTCTGGCAGATCTAACACTCTCCTCTGGATTCCTGCATTCCAGTGGTGCCTATGCATTCATACACTCAGACACAAACTAAAATCTCCCTCAAGGTGTACTAAAACTTGCCTAGCTACAAGCATTAATAACCGTTAGTTGCCAGCCTCATACCTTTTCCTCACCCAATTTTACCCACCCCAATCGTACCCTGAAGACTTTCCTCCTTTGGTTCATGCAGCACCTCCCTGTCTACTACAGCTTTCTGGTCTTGTGTCACCTACATCCACTTGCCACAGCATCATGTCTGTGCTTTAGACTCCATCTGGCTTGTCACTGAATAAAATGTCATTGTGTCTGTATGCCACTGTGCTGTATACAACTATGCTGAGTTTATTTCCTTGCAATTGTGAAAAGAACAGTAATGAGCATAGCTTTCTGTCTGTTACTGGCACCACCAACACAGGTGCCCAAGTGCAGTTCTAAAGGATTCCACCAACTGGGTTTCTCAAAGCTGCCCTTGCATCTGCCCTAGTCTTCCTCTGAGACATCACTTCTACTGACCTGTGGCCTCTATTCTTCCCTCGCTCATCCATACCGTTACTGACACAGCATCCCCAAATAAAACCAGCATGAGCTGTGGATGTGGTGGCAGAGAGGATAGTGCATCTCTTCCAGTTCAAGGCCAGCCCCGTCTACATAGTGAGTTCCAGGCTGACCAGTGCTACATAGTGAAACTCTCAATGAATAAATAAATGAATCTGCATGAACGGCTCCCTGCTCACAGTCCACACAAACATACCAAAGTCTGTCCTCCACAAGCTGCTGCCAGTACTCGCTTGGCAAATGGCTAAGGACTTGAAGACTCAAAACTCCGTTTCTTTTCAGTGAGTCCCCTCCTTGCACCAGAGCCCTTCAGGACAAGCCACTGTCACTTATAATTCCATGTGGTGCTTTCTGAGAAGTGGTACAGACAAAATGCTCACGAAGTGTACATCTCATGAGGAAATTCTATCCAGGGCTTTTATCTACTTCTACATACTATTCTTGATGGGGCTTGGAAATTTTCCAGTCTGGTCTGTCCAATTTTAATCTCAGGGTCCTGGAATTTCTTTCATAGCTTGGCTGATCCATGAATTGGGAAGAGAAAAAATGAGGAGGTGGGGGAGAGATGTATTCTTTTGGCTTAGGCTTTCAAAAGATAATTTGGGCCTTGACTGGAGTAAGCCTATGCAGCTCAGAGTCACAAAAAGGGCCTGAGCCGTTTCTACAGCAACGGAAGGAGGGTGTGGCCTCCCTGTGCAGGTCTGCTAGCTCACCCTAAGACTCTGCAGAGGTACCCGTCTGTGACAGCCCGATGCAGCTCCTCCCACTTCCTGCCCTCATCCGGACAGAGTAAGCACCAGGGAGAAGAGGCTTGCGATGGGCGCAAACCCTGAGCCAGCTAGGGCGGGGTCCTCTTGGGGCAAGTGGAAAGGGAGAAGGGACGGGTGCCTGAAGGAGAGGAGTTTCAGGCCTTGCCAGCTGCACGCTCCTGACTCTCCTACTAATGGAACACTGTTAGGGACTCCAGCGGAATGCCGGAAGGGAGGCTGCGGGGCCTGACTCCAGCAACTTGGGGCGTGATACCTTTCATTTCCACATTGTCAATGTCCCTGCATGTGGGTGTCTTCCTCTCACACAGACACACAGACACACAGACACACACAGAGAGAGAGAGAGAGAGAGAGAGAGAGAGAGAGAGAGAGAGAGAGAGAGAGAGAGAGAGAGAGAGAGAGAGAGAGAGAGAGAGAGCTCAGCCCTTTACACAAGTGTGTCCCGAGGAGTATATGGATCACATGCCCAGATCAACTTTCCTCAGTGGTACTTGCTTGCACTGCAGGAAAATCCCCAACGCTGGCAACATGTTTTGTTTGAGTAGTGGGCACACAGCTCTGAGCGTTTCCTGTCTGAAATGTCCAGGCCACTTGGGGCTTAGGAAACTTTGCCCTTTCAGACATGTTTTTTAAAATCACCAGCTTCCATGATCTTAACTTTGGATGGAAACATCTCTTAAGATTGTCTTTTGTCTTGCTTGAAAGGTGAGATGGCGGTGATTGGAATTCTAAATCTTCAAACATGGCTGACCCATGCCTGTAATCTCAGTGTCAAGAGGCAGAGAAGCAGGGGATGAGGGTTAAGTCTGAGGCCAGCCTGGTTAACATGGCAACATAGCAAGTGTCAGGCCAGCCTGGGCTAGAGTGTGATTCTGGGCCAGGCCTTACGAGTCGTGGGACTTAATCCTTCTGTTTCAGTCTTTACCCAGATGAAGATGGGAACTGAAGGCCTATCTGTCACTATGCCAACCTCTCCTCTGACTTTACCCTTTCCAACTCCATATTGTCTACACCTGAACTAAAATGAGTGCTTCTCAAAAATGGGGGATCCAGGTCACCAAATTGTGGTTTTAACTGACTCTAGCCCCCATGTAAGTTTTAGGTGACCAGCTACAGAGGAGATAAGGCTACTTTCGTCCCCAGGACCATCAAGGGATGAAACAGGCACACTGCCTGACCTAACAATGATAAGGACATTAGACTCTTGGAAATAGTAGCTACTTTAAGAGAAAATAGAGTAAAATAGCCACAATGTCATCTTAACCTGCCATGCCTGTCGGATGCTCTATCGTGGAAGAAGTTTGTGCAAAATCCCACAGGCTGCATCCTGTGGAGTACACACAGGAGAGAAAAACAAGGCTCCTATGTTCTGAACACTCAAGAATTCTTGGGCAGAAAGGAGGATAGACTTGTTCTTTGTGCTTTTGTGAGGATAGCAAAAAGAGGTGGGAATAATGTCTGGTATAGTAACAATTGCCCTCCCCACAAATATTTAACAAAAGCCTACCATATGTAAATCAACATCTCAATACGAAGTGGGCTTTTGGGGAAAATGTCACTGTTTCAGGAACACTCTGGCACTGACAGATAATTATCAGAGAGACTAAAGGTCCCTGCACTACATGAGGGCATGGAAGAGAGGGTTTCCCAAAACCTCCAGCTCTTACAATCAAATCACTGGACCATGAGGAATTCAAAAACTCATGTAGAGGACTGAGGAGTTGAATTTGCTTTGTCGGGGTATCATTTAAATAATAACCATGTCCCTTTTTTGAAGAAATATAAGGAGAGGTGCCCTAGCCCTGTCCTACCATCATATCAGCTTCAAGGACAACCCCCAGGTCATAAAGGTCAAGCTACTGTCAACTGCAGTAGAAATCATGAAATCACAGTAAGTGACCTCAAGAGACATTTTCCCTTTGGACATTAGTATCCTTTAAACACAGATGCATACATTTAAAATTCCACACAAAAGGATTTTAGTAACAGTAACACTGTCACCTCTGTGGCTTTCCCATTCCAAACCTCCTGAGAACAAGAAATCCATTCGTCTTGCCCATCTGTTCTCCACTCTGTCTCTGTGCTCATTCTTCAAGGATCTTCTACAGTGGATCTCTGGGGGCTGCCTCAGCTTTCCCAGCTGGACCCCGCACCACCCAGAGTGCGCCGTGCATTCAGCACACACTGCTGACATTGTTGGCTCTCTGCTCCCAAACCATGAGTTTGCCTCAGTGGCAGAAACCATGGCTAGCTTACCAGCAGAACTGCCTGAATAAATGTGTCTACAAAATATAGAAGAAAGAAGGGAACTGATCATTAGCAGAGAAGCAGTTTAGCTTTTGCTGACTTTAGCATAGGTTTTTATTATTATTATCATCATATGTATTCATGTGGTATGTGTGTGTGTGTGAGTGTGTGTGTGTGTGTGTGTGTGTGTGTGTGTCCTGTAGCTAGAAACAATGACATGATCCTGTTGTCCCAGCTGCTTAAGAGACTGAAGGGGATCATTTGAGTATGGGCTACCTGTTCTATGTGATGAGACCCCTAACATTTTTTTTTCTGAAAGAGAGTACCACTTTGTAGTTAAGGCTGGCCTTGAACTTACCATCTTTGTACCCTAGCCTCCCAAGTGCTGGAATAAGGCATGTATATCACTATGCTCAGCAAAGAGGTGAATTTATTTTTACCTTAAAGATTTTCTTTTAACCTTAAAAAAATTCTGCTCAGAATCTAACTTTACTCCTTGGAGGGAGGTTTTCATTTATTATGTTTTATTTTTTAACAGTTCTCTCCTACATTCTTTTTAGATGTCTGGATGGAGATGGTAGCATCGAGATTTTTATTAGATAAATACAGGATCCTATTACATACTGTTCCACTGGTTTTACTCAATTTGCCATGGGTATTGTAAAGTCCATCTCATTTTAAAAGTAACAGTATCATATTCCATAAAGCATCTATGTCATGTTTTTAAATTCCCACTGCATATGGAAGGGTAAAATCTTGTTTTTTAAATATTTACTTCCTCAGTAAATGTATATGTGACGTATCTTAAATCCTATGAATAAATGAAAGATCACGGTGCTGCCATCACTGGTTGATTATAATGTCTGCTAACGCTAACAACTATAAAGACTTTACACTGCTCTCCACTCTGGCCCTGATTCTTGCAGTTTTCAAATTCCCTGTGCTCTTTTCAGAGCTCCGGGAAGCTATAAAGGGACTTCATGGGACACAGCAGAATTGCAACAGCACTCCATGACTAACAAGAACTAAAAATGTCCCAAGAGTTCCCTAAGACTTGCCTCCCACTTATAGGCCACAGCTCTGTCTAGACTCCATAACCATGTGCAAGTTGTTTGGTTTTTTTTTCTCATCTTGCACAAGTTAATTAGTCATTGAATTGGGCTTTGAATGAGGAAGGCGCACAAAAAAAATGGTGACAGGACATCAGCTCTCCCTTTCCTCTTTGCAGACGTTAAAGCACACAAGTAGCTTGCTGTATGTGTGACGTTCCATAGTATGTGGAGGGAGCGGCATACTGTGTGTGCTAAGCGGATGAGTTTGGCTTTGCAGTTACCTGGGGAAATGGACTCGGGACTGGCTGTTCTAACTTTGCCGTCCTACTCCTTGGCTCCTGCCTCTCCCTCTACATGCCTGTCTTTCTCAAGCCCAAGAAGGAATGCAAGAGGAGCAGAACTTGTCTTTGCTGTAGGCTGGTCCGTGCTTTTCTCTAAGCTTTTCTGCTTTTGTTCGCCCCCAAGAATGTAGGCCTTTATTTGCATGTTGTCCCCACTGCCACCTGGCTATTGTATTATCACCACTTCCACCACCACCATCACTATCACCATCGCTGCCACCATCTTTGAGACAGGGGCTTGATGTAGCTCAGGGTAGCCTTGAACCTGAGATTTTCCTTCCTCAGATCTCCAGTTCCAGTATTATAGGCGTATGCCTGGAGCTAACTTTACTTTTTGCTCTCTCTCCTGCAGGACTCCCATGGATGCAAACAAGCCGAAGAAACGCAGTTTGACGACTTTCCCGGTTCTGAAAGCAAGGAAGAAGCCAAGTGTCCCCACTGTGAAGGTAAGCATTGATAGGTCCCAAGTGAAGAGTGGGGACACAGGCAGGAAGATGTGGAGAGTCTGGGACCCCGGGGAAGTCTCCCACCCAAGCTCCTCGAGGATAGTCCTGACGTGAAGGTATGCCGGACCCAGACAGCCAGTGGAGTCAGGGCTGAGTTCCTGGTTGCTCTGACAAAGTACTTGAAAAAAGCCACTTGAAGGAGAAAGGGTTTGTTTTGGCTCCGAGTTAGAAGGTACCCTGCAGTGTTATGGGGAGGGCATGGCGACAGGCACTCGAGGTACCCGTTCACATTGCATCCCAAGTCAGAAAGCAGACAGAAGCGTGTGGGGGTCCAACTTGCTCCCTCGTCTCCAGTCAGTCCAGGCTGCTGCCCACATTCAGAGTGGATCTTTCCCCCTGGAAGCATCCCTTCCCCAGGCCCATGCAGAGATTTGTCTCCTGAGTTGTTCTTAATCCCATCTGGTGGGCAGGGTTACCCATCATGGTGGACTCCAAGGGAAAGGCAGCCAGACCTGTGAGGCCTCCGTCAAGCAGGTGTCTTGCGTTAGAGAAGCTACTGGGTCAATGCTTTGTCCACAGTGCTGCTTCTCCCTTCCGTCTACCTCAGAACATTCGATCATAGTTCACAATAAGTATCCAAGGTCATTTCAAGATAATATGTTCTTTTTACCGACAAAGACATAATTTATTTTTTACTCAGCCCAAAACCGAATATAAGATACAGCACAGAAGTTGGGCCAATATGTAGTAGTCATGCTTACCATCTACAGACTAAGTAAGGGGAGGTTTTTTTTAAATCTAGGACAATTGTACAATTTAGTGTGTTCAAACTATTATATTGCTTGGGATCTTTTCTCAGAATTGGTAGTTCGAAGGCTTTCTCAACTATATTGTGAGTTCTAAGCCAACCTGCATTCATGAAATCTTGACTCAAAGAAAAAAAATGAAAACAAAAAACAGGGACAGTTACCACAAGAAACATTTGAAATAATAAAAGCAGCAATTTTCTTCACGCTGCACTCTGCAGTAGCTCCCAACAGGTAGAAGGAGACTGGGGAAGACACCTGACATTGAATTGTGTGCATTTATGTGCACACACAGAGACATATGCAGACACAGGCACACACACACACACATACACGCGTGCATGCAAACACACAAAATAAGTCTTTAAATAAAGAGTGCTTTTCTATTGGGTAGACACAAGTACTCATTTAAATGCCAGGTATTGTGGCTCACACCTGTAATTCTACCACTTGGTAGGTGATGACAAGAGGATCATGAATTCAATCAGCCTCAGCTACAGAGAGTTTGAAGTCAGCCTGGGCTGCATGAAACCCTGCTTCAAAACCAATAAGCAAGCAAATAGATAAACACATGTTACCTGTAAAATGAGGTCATTAACTGCTTCTTGTGGTACTGGACTCATATTAACTGTTTCTTGTGATGATGGTATTAGTGAGTGATATTAATTAATTAAGTATTAATAAGAACATGAAATCTCTGGCTGGCAGATCCTGGACATATGCTCCTGATATCTCTTGAGAAACAGGAATGGATTCTTTCACAGCAGAAGGAAATACCCAAGACCATCCATTTGTGTCTCATGTCTGTGTCTCATCAGCATCCCTCACCCAAGGGAGGGAAAACACTAAGCCAACATTTTGCTATCACAAGGAGTTAAACATCCTAGTCAAAACTGAATAGCACACAAAGCAAAGGTGTCACTTGGCAGTCGATTCTAGTTTTGTTTCGTGGCACGCTGGTATCTAGGGTGATCCATTCATAGTTTAAATACAAACAGTTCAGGGGAAAAGCTTGTCACAATCACAGGACATTTACAATAAAGCATCTGCTAGAGCTGGTAGATGGTGAAAGCCCAGCACAGTCTTCCAGCCAGTGCATATCTGGAGGAGACTTGGCACCCTGGAGACCTTACATCTTGTTTTTCCTTTCTCCTCCAGGGCCCCACTCTTCCTCCCGAGATCTACATGGTGAGTACCAGCTCCTCTGCCTTCATTCCCACAGCTGCCCTACTTTGGAGAGAGAGGAACAAAGGCTTGAGATTACCATCACTTGCTGTGAGAATGATGTTAACACAAACTGGCATAAGAGAGTGTCTCTCTGAGTGCTGGAATACAGCAGAGCAAATGCATTCTTCAGAGAGCAGCATCTCTAAACTGTGAAACAGCACGCTCTACAGGGAGGGCAGAGATGTTAGAAATGCAAAGTGGCTTTAGCTTTTCTTATTTTCACTTTACATCTGTGTTGAGATAATCTCTATCAGTTCACAGAGGAGGAAACTGAGACCCAAAGAGATTGAACAAGGTATCTATAAAGCTAGCCTGCCATTAAAAACTGAAATCAGTACTCTGGATTTATTCTGGAGTTCATGAATTTTTAAAAAAATCTTCATTAAAATGTATATGAAGATCTATTCTAAAAAGAACACGAGAGGTACCTAGTATCCATCCCATGTATCTATCACAGTGTAAAAGTCACCTCAGTGTCCCTTCCCATTTCATTTCGTCCCATTCGCTGTCCCCTTCCGCAGTCATCATTCTCTTGAGTTTGCATCTGTTATCCCGTTGCTGTCCTGTGTGCATGCTCATGTGTGTCTCTGGTCACAGATGTGGTAGTGTTTCTAGATCATTTATCCAGGGATGGGCATCCCAGGTGATGAGACTTGAAGACTTTGAACTTAAGCAGATACTGCAGAATCTCCCAATCCTGGTATCAGTGCGCGTTGCCCTGGTGCAGTACATGTTTCATCTGCTTGCCATTTTGACCTGTTTATGCCCTGTGGGCACTCCATCTGCTGACTTTGTGGCTAAGTGGCGTTTTGGTTGTCTTTAACTTGCACTCGATTGTATTAGTGAGGCAGAACTTCCTCTCATCTGTTCGCTAGTCACTTGTGTCATTTTCTTGAAATGCCTGCTCATGTCTCTAGTCCTTAGAAGTTCTTTCTGTGATGTCACCATTTCTGTATTGGCTACAGAATATTTTATAAGTTTACCTACTAGACTTTTTTGCCAGTTGTAAACAGCCTCTCCAAGGTTGTTTTGCTTGAATGTTTTCTTGTACTTAATAGTCATACAGCAGTTTTGGATCTATAAAAAAAAGAACAAAGTTCCCCATCACCTGTCAAGGTCTTCCTATTACTGGCATCTTCGGTAGGGTGTACCTGTTACAACTGATAATGCAATACTGGTAAGTTATTATCAACTGAATGCCATAGTTTATATGTAAGTTTGCCCTTTATGTTGTGCAAAATTTTGACAATGCATAATGTCATGTATTTATGATCACAATGTCACAAAGGACAGATTCACTGGCCAAAAAAAGAAAAAAAAAACAACCAAAAGCATTCTTTACCTAGCCATTTACCTATCCATCCCTATCTTCTCCTGGCACCTCTATCCATAACTTTTTCTATGTCAATTGTTTTCCCTTTTCTAGAATATCATATGGTTAGGATCCCACAACATGCAACCTCTTCAGGCTTTTCACATTTTGTGGCTTGGTATAATTTCCCTTTATTAATAATTAATACCGCATTATGTGAATGCAATAGCTTGATTATTCACCAATTGAAGGCCATGTTGATTGCTTTTATCTTTCAGCAGTTGTGATTAATATTGCTGTGGAACATTCATGTGCAAGTTTTAGTGTGGACAGAATTTTTCAATTCATTTGGGTAACTACCAAGAGCATGACTTCTTGATTGTAGTTTAAGGTTACAATGAGCTGTTTTTAAAAGAAGCCAGACTGTCCCCCAAAGCAGCCATAGCATTTTACCAGCAGTAGTAAGTGGAAAGTCCTGTGATTGTCACCTCCTTTTTGGCATTTGGTAGTTTTCAATGTTTGGGACTTTACTCACCCAAAAAAATGTGTGTAGTACTAACACACTTACATTTATGATATCAAACATCTTTATCTATATTTATTTACTATCTGTATATTTTTATTTTGAGACAGACTTCAAAGTCCACATACTATTATTATTCAGTCCATAATTCCTTAAACAAATTTTTATTTATGTAATTGTCATACGCACACACGAGTGTGTGTATGTGTGTTGGGGGATGAGTGTGAGTTTGTCACAGCATATGTGTTATGAGCAGGGGACAATTTCTAGAAGCCAGTTTTCTCCATCCACCACGTGGGTCCTAGGGTTCAAACTCAGGTCTTCAGGCTTAGAGGAAGGTACATTTACTCACTAAGTCACAGTCTCAGCTCTATGTCATGAATCCTTAAAGACCAGTCACTGATGGATTCTTTCAGAAATCATTCTACCAGAGCCAAATTGTCCTCAGTGCTGTGGGACAAAACGATGCATTTCTGGCAGATTGCACAGTAGAGCTGGGTGTGAACATGCAAATAGACTCTCACAGAAAGGTACAGTAAAGGCTCTCATTGAGGAAGGTGTGATAAGGGCTCTCACTGAAGTAAAAGCGAGTTTCCCTGGCAGTTCAGAGAACTTCTTCTTAAGTTACTGTCCAGAACATACCACCATGTTTCACTAGCATACCAAGCAGTCAAAGCATCATCACAGGGTATAGCAATAGGGCTCATTTATTGTATTTTCTTCTGTGTGTTAATGCTGCCTGGAGTTTTTCAAGGAGGCTGCATGGGAAGTGGAGGAGAGCATTTAAGACAGAAATAACATAAGCAAGGTCATGGCATGAGCACAAACGAGCGGAACACAATATTAGAAATCATCTCCTTTAACACTTCCATGGTACGCATATCTCTATGTAATGGAAACCTAGAGTTTCATGTGGTAATTAATAGATAATTAATATATGGATATGCAACCATATCCAGATAGCATCTGAATAAAAATATGAAATTTACTTCAAGATTTATTTTTTATTTTGTGTGTATAACTGTTTGCTTGTAGGTATGTCTGTGAACCATGTATGCGTCTGGTGCCCCAGGAGGCCAGAAAAGTTATCTAATTTTTTGGAACCAGATGATTGTAAGATGCCATGTGGGTTCTGAGAATTAAACCCAGGTCCTTTGAAAATGCTTTTACCTGCTTCAACCTCCTCAGCTTACTTTACCTGGGGGTTTTGGAGAAGTATTTCCTGTTTTCTTGTCCCTTGGTTTTGTAGCAGACCAGAAAGTGGTCAGAAGAGGTAGCAGCATGACTCAGTAAAAAGGCACTTTCGGGCTTGGGTACCAGACTCAAGTTTGCTACTGTTGGTGGGGGTGGGGTTACCTTACCTTGGACAACTCATTTGACTAACCTTGGTTTCTCTTTCTCTATGTGTCAAATGAGGTCATTCTATGACATATTCTATAAGACTGTCCCCGGCATCAGGATTATCCAAGATCCATTAAGGAAGTCATAAGATGTGTCCCCTGATGCCAGGCACTGAGAAGTAGGAGATAACTCCAAGTGTCTGTGCTTCCAGGCCTGGGTTCCTGCCCTTCTCTCAAGTCTGTCCAGGTCCCCTGGGAGGACACTGCATCCGTGACATGGGGAGTCGTTGTTCCTGTGTGAATGGTCATGTTCATTCCACTAATGGGTCTCCAGAGTCCCTCCCCTTGCCTGTGGGAGGACCCAGGAGGCCCTTTCTTCCTGCTTATGCATCCTGGGCCGCCTCATGCACAGCTAAGCACCTTTCTGTGAAGACTCAGCTAGAAGTGGCAGTCAGATAGAAACTTTGACTAGTTAGGAATTGCAGCTAGCAGTGTAGCTTAGTCCCTCATCTGGGCTGCAGGATCAAGGCGCCTTCCCCTTTCCCAGCTCTTTGTCTGGTTTGGATGGGCCTAATCATCCATTTAAATTGTATTCAGTATCAAATCCCTGATGATTTTTCTTTTCTTTCATCATCACACTCCCTCCTTACATCAAGCATTTGTTTTGAACTCTCGTTTTTTTCCCAGCCTCCAGGAAAAGGTTATGGCATTTGCAGGGAGGAAGCTGGGAACTGAGAGCAGAGAACTTGAATCTCATCTGCCTGCCAGGCTCATCCAAGCTCTAGGGATTTTTTAGAGGAGGAGCCAGTTGAGAAAACAGAGAAGTAGTCCTTGAGGGATGACTAAGGCAGAGTTGTTTGATGGTGTACCTCTGAACAAGCTAGATGGCCTAGAGACAGGGGCCAGAGGAACTGATGCCCACCTAGAGCCCAGATGCTTTCTTCCCTGGACGGCACAGATGAGGACATCCAAGGCTCAGTCCAAGGTAATAAGACCAGGAGATGCACCTTGGGATCTTGTTATGGGGAAGAGAGCCATTGTCCTTTAGCTCTCAGAGTGACAGCATTGGACATAGGTTCCCCTGTGGCCCTTGTTAACTGCACAGAGCTTTTCGTATGAGGTGGAGGAAGGTGTGCGTGTTCACTTGGGACCGGGTGTGACGAGAATGCAAACCAGAGGCAGAGAAGACAGAATGTCACTGGCAGGGAACACTGGAGTAGTACTTACAATTTCATTCTTCTGTGCACCTTCTGTGGTTTTGGGGATTCAATTCTTCTATATCCCTCCTTCATTCTGACAAGCGGGTCACAGGAAATGACTCACAGGAAATGAACACCTTCATGTTTGGCCTTTCCAGGGCTTGGGTCCCTAACATAGACAACTTTTATCTTGTTCCCCCAGTGACCTACATTCAGAAGAGGTTCATTTATTGGGAACAAAACAGTGAGGAACCAAAGGACAATATCAGAAAGTACACCTCCTAAAAGGAAAATTCTGTTCTCCACTGTGGATGTGGGGAGGCACAGTCACTTCCTCTTGTCCCTTGGGATGCTATGGTGGGATGAGGTGCAATGAGATAGCATGCCTCTCGAGGCAGTTGCTGAGGGAAAGATGGCCTTTAAGTCCATCACCTGGTACAACGATCACTTTTTGAGACCCCCAACTCTCTCTCTCTCTCTCTCTCTCTCTCTCTCTCTCTCTCTCTCTCTCTCTCTCTCTCTCTCTCTCTCTCTCTCTCTCTCTGTGTGTGTGTGTGTATGTGTGTGTGTGCTGAGACACAGAAGCCACCATTTGGGAGGAGTGTCTTCATCAAACCCAGGATGTCTCTAGCCTTGACTATGAGCTGCATTTTTTTTTCTATATCCCAGGTTGCTGTACAAAGATAGGCTATATATGACAGGCTTGGAAGCTTTGTTATATTTAGATCAGTATGGGATTAAGAATACTTAATTTTTTCCTTTCATTGTTACTGAATGTTAATGATCTTTGGCATTTCTTTACTTTCTATATCTACATGTTATTTCCAGCCCTGGTCCTAGAATCTGCCATTTGTCCAAAGACCCCTGGTTCCTCTTATTGAAGAATGGTATGAGATACCAGTATGTGGATTCTAGGCATGATTATTTCTACTGGGGTATTATTTCTCTTAAGTTCTCCCAGGGACAAAGGAAGTGTGTGTGTGTGTGTGTGTGTGTGTGTGTGTGTGTGCGTGCGTGCACATGAAGAGTATTTGTGTGTCTGTGTGTAGCTAGTCTATGTATATACACTAATATAAAAGGATTTCTGTGTAACCATCTGTAGGTATATTAAGTTAAACACGAGTTCTTCTGTATCTAGTCCCAGTCAATTATAATATGATGGTGATGGCGATGGTGATGGTGATGGTGACTGTGATGGACCGTCATTGATCTGTAAATTTTCACCCCAACAATGGAAACCTGCGGTCTTCCTTCCAGGCAGTGCATTCAGCTCCAGTGTGTGTGTGTGTGTGTGTGTGTGTGTGTGTGTGTGTGTGTGTGTGGCAAACTCTGAGTGTTGTCTCCCAGACATTTTGTTTTGTTGTATTATTTTCTCAGGTTACCCATTATGACCCTTTAAGTTTTGTGGGCACATCACCTTGTCCATCATCCATCAGGTCTGCGTTCATAGCTTTTCCTGTTTCATGGCAAATGAACAAGATCTCCCCATGCTCTTCACCGCTAAAGACAAGGAACTCCAGCTGACAGTCTCAGGATGTGCAAGGCCTCAGCGTGTTCCACGGGTTGCTTTATTCCTCATGCTAGCCCTCTGAGGGTTTTACTGCTCGCATCCCCACATTACGTGAGGAATGACTGTTAACTGTCCACATTCAGTGATTAGTGGAGCTGTTGAATTAAAAACTGTCACCAGGCATGCAGGTGCATGCCTGTAATCCTAGCATAAAAAAAGAAAAGAAAAAAAAGGGGGGTGATTTTTCAAACCTTCATGTCCATGAACATTATTTTATTCTACGTCACTGCTAAAGAGGTCTATCTGAAGTACCACTCTACACCACACATATGGTATACATTGCCAGTGCTTCCCATTTGCCCATAGGATAAAGGACAAGTTTCTTTGCTTAGCTTTCAGTGCATTCCAAAATCAGCCCCGGGCTGCAGGTTACCCAGCATGGGCAGTGGAGACACCTGCTGTGTGCTAAATGCTGCTGCTTGTCTCATAGCATGCTTTTTTCCTCCCTCTCAACCCTCCCTGCTCCCCAGGCTTGTAGCTGTCACCACACTGATGTCTCCCTTGGGAAAGACGCTCATTGCCCACACCCTTTGTCTGTTAGTCTGAGTTACATATTGTTAGTATAATTCCCACTGATCTGTCAGTCTCTCCATTGCATTCTCAAGACTAGCTTGTTGATATTGATGGTCATTTATGGGTTTTAATCCTCCAGAAACACATTTAATAAGATGTTTTGAGTTTAAAAATTAATTTGAAGTATTTATCCAGACACTAGGGCCCATTCCATGGGCAGGAAAAACCTGAATTTAACATACATTATCGAATTAACAAATGGGGTCCTGTACACCCTCTTTCAAAGTCTAGGAGGTCACAGCTGACCACTGAAACCCTCCCTTTTGTACAGTCCCCATCTGTACAGCTCTGAGGCAGGGTTAGCTAGAGGATAATAAATTCACGTATTGTATCCAATTTCCAAATTTTACAGAGGTGGTTCTGTCTCTACTATTTTTTCACTTTAATTTTAATCCTATCCCTAACAATAACAACCACAAAATTCAGGTCTACTGTTCTGCTAGTAGCTTCCCAAATGATCATGGGATGAAGTACAGTCATTGGATCACTGTTTATCTGTGTGCGGCACACAGAGATGCCTCTTTCCTCCATGATGGGCTTTCTCTACCTCTCTACCTTGGTACACACTATTCCAGGATTTGACTTTTCCCTCTCACCCATTTCTAGACACAAAATCTCTTCTAAAAAGATCACTAGCATTAAGGTTGATCACCTAGATTCTGGAAGGTTCCACTGATGTACCTTTCAGCACATTGATGGTAAAGACAGTTCCAAGCTATAAGCATCTAATGAGCAAGAACGCCTTGGATTTTATTTCTTTCAGTGTCTAGGGATTCTGATAATGTTTTGGGCGAAAAGGTTACACTGACTACTTTGTTTTCAAGCTAAGAATTTGCTTTATAGTCAGGATGTCCTGAAACTCACAACCCTCCATCTCAGGTATTTCACTGCTGGAACTACAAGCAGGTATTACCCCACTTGGCTTTACATTTTTTCCATTTTAAGTGTATCAATCATAGGACATGTCAGTCCACGCTTAACACTTTTGGAAAGGGCATTTGTTTGGATAATGATTCATTCATGCTTTCATTGGATAACAAGTCATTCAGGCAGTCATTGGACAACAATTCATTCATGCAGCCATTGGATAAAAGTTCATTCATGAATTCATTGAGTACTTTTAGTGTCTCTGGACTTTTCCTAACTTTAAAGTTAGGAGAGTTGGCTTTGAGGGTACTTTACCATAATGAAAAAAAATGTGCAGGTGACTTGGGATAAAAGCAGCCAAGTTCCATTTCAATTCTTTCCCACATGACCTAGGTTGAGAGTAAGCCTTTGGTTCAAGCCCAGAAGCCATCCTCCAAGGTCAAGAAGCTAAGAATGACCCGATGTTCACAAAAGGTAGGAAGTGGTGGCTAGTGTCCTTTCTCTAGAAGAGGGTAATGGCAAGTGGATGGTTGGGATAGAGTTTCACAGGCCATTTTGTTTGACAAAAATTGTACCCTAAATACAGCTGTGGATTAATAGGTGAACTCTCTCCCAATCAATCCATAGACTAATAAATGAAGGATAATAGGGATTAAATGATAATGTATCCATAGAGAAGATTGAGGTTCGTGTTGCACATACAGCAGGAGGAATTTCTCCAAACTTGGATGTGTTTTCAGAGCAATGTGTGAAAGTCAGGGAAACACTTACTTTGGGAGACACATTGAGAAACTTACTGTTTCTTAACTGACAAAAATCCTTGTTGGAAATAGGTCTTTTGGGTCCCTGATATTACAATGGTGAAAATACAGGCTAGCACTTTTGAAATACTTTACATATATTTCCTCATAAAAGTCTTATGAGGTAGGTCCCATTTTGGTCACCATGGTAGCAGTGAAATAAACGAGGCTTAGAAAGTCAGTATGACCTACTGGAGGATTACAGTTCATAAGTGGTTGAGGGAGGATTCAAACAGCCCAACTGAGTCTCTTCTCTGGACTCTGCTGTTTCTCATGAACCTGGGTTAGGCGCCACATTGTTGCGGAGTTAAGAATAGAAGAGATAACCCAGAATTCATTTACTTTTCTGGAATGTCTGTAACCTATTCCCTTTCTCTTTCTATAGACTACAAACACCAATATCACTACACTCCCTTTTGTGGACACAAAGGGGAGGCGGAACACAGTTAACTTCCCACACATTGGCAACAAAGTCCTATCAAAGCCATCCATCCTGTATCAGGTAAGACGATGGACATGGCCTTGGGCAAGGAGATCCGAGGCCTGAGATCAGCACAGTACCAGGTCTGGGGAAGTCTGGGTTCTAGACTTCTCACTTGCTATGAATGAAAACTTGAACAAATATGCCTTGACTTTCTTTTACACATAAAATGGGCTCTCTGTGGCATTATGAACATTCATCAAGGAAAAGAAAAATGAAGTCCCCACTGTATAAACAATAGAGCCATTCAAAAGATTTTCTTCCAACATTCTCTAAAAAAATGTAATTATGTGTAATGTTCTAGGGTGTGTGCTTATGAATGAAGGTGCTCAGAGAATCCAGAAGGACATGTCAGATCCCCTGGAGCTGGGGTCACAGGCAGTTGTGAGTCACTTGATATGAGTGCTGGCAATGAGACTTGGGTCCTTTGCAAGAGCAGTATACACTCTGAGCCCTGCCGCCAGTCTCTCCTCTACCTGTTCTGTGTGAGGACCCAGTGAGATACTGAGAACTAGTGACAAGTTGAACAGAGGCTAGTCTCAGCTGAAACTTCTGTGTTCTACTAAGTTACTTAGCTTATTTGGAATTGGTCTGTGTTAGGTACTTTTCTCACCATTGTGAACAAATATCTGCAAGGAAGCAACTCGAGGGAAGAGGGGTTTATGTTGGGCTCAAAGTTTAAGGCAATGGAGTTCTTCATGGTAGGGAAGGCCTTGGCAGAAAGAGCTCAAAGCAGCTGCTCACATCGTGTCTGTGGGCAAGAAGCAGAGAAACGAATGCTGGTGATCAGCTCCATTTCTCTTTCTATTTAGTCTGGGGCAACTCACAACTCTCCTTTAATGGTGTTCTGAGATTCTCTGAGTGGGCAGTTTGTCGAGACAGGAATGGGGCTTTTTCAGATCTTGTAGGGGTGAGCTGGAGGTTCCATTTGAGGGGGGTGGTCTTCATTCTTTAGTTCAGGAAGTGTCTCATAGACAAATTAAGAGATATGTTTCCATGGTGATTGTAAACCCAGTCAAACTCACAATGAAAAGTAACCACTTCATGGCCTCCTCAAGAGCAGCAGTAAAATTGCTGAGTCTCTCTCTCTCTACAGTGACATGCCACTTGCATTGTCAACTGCATAATGTAATATAGTGGATCTTCCAGAGCATCATATGAATTGGATACTCTCTCTCGGAGAAGGGTTGAGAGGCACACCATCTCTTAAGTCATAACTGATTTCTCCAGGGAGTGGTAGGAAATGATCTTGGCTGGAGGTAGGTCTGTTGGGTCAACTGGATGACCTATGACTGCTAAGAGAATCCAATCTTTTATTGCAAACTTGTTTACCTGGACAGGAAAATCAAATTCACAATCAACTGCTCTCCTCTGAACTCAAGACTTCAGAAATACCTTTCAACTTTAACCCTAAACCCCAAGACACCAAACCACGTGCAGAGCTAACAAAGAAGCACAAGGTTCCTCTTACAGCAGCAGGTATGACTTGTAGGGAGAAGCAAGGTAGAGTGGCGGGGGACTAGAGTGGGGGGACTAGAGGGGGGCTAGAGTGGGGGGAACTAGAGTGGCGGGGGACTAGAGTGGGGGGGCTAGAGTGGGAGGGCTAGAGTGGGGGACTAGAGTGGGGGGACTAGAGCGGGGGGACTAGAGTGGGGGGCTAGAGTGGAGGGGCCAGAGTGGGGGGACTAGAGTGGGGGGACTAGAGTGGGGGGACTAGAGTGGGGGGCCTAGAGTGGGGAGGGGGACTAGAGTGGGGAGGGGGACTGGAGAGGGGAGGGGGACTAGAGAGGGGGACTAGAGAGGGGGACTAGAGCGGGGGGGACTAGAGCGGGGGGACTAGAGCGGGGGGACTAGAGCGGGGGGACTAGAGCGGGGGGACTAGAGCGGGGGACTAGAGCGGGGGGGACTGGAGCGGGGGCTGGAGTGGGGGGGCTGGAGTGGGGAGGGGGACTGGAGCGGGGGGGACTAGAGCGGGGGCTAGAGCGGGGGGACTAGAGTGGGGGGACTAGAGTGGGGGGCTAGAGTAGGGAGCTGCAGTGGGGGCTGGAGTGGGGGGACTAGAGCGGGGAGGGGGACTAGAGCAGGGGGCTGGAGCGGGGGGGCTGGAGCGGGGGGACTAGAGTGGGGGGGACTAGAGCGGGGGGACTAGAGCGGGGGCTAGAGCGGGGGGCTAGGGTGGGGGGACTAGAGTGGGGGCACTAGAGGGGAGGGGGACTAGAGGGGGACTAGAGCAGGGGGACTAGAGCGGGAGGGGACTGGGGGACTAGAGCCGGGGGGGGGATTAGAGTGGGGGGAATAGAGTGGCTGGGGAAGCGTGGTTGTGAATGCTTAAAATGTTGATTGCTGAGCTGAGCTGACCTATGGAGATCCAGGCTTCCACGTACTAAAGTTATAAATTACAGCAAAGAATCAAAATGAGCAAAGCTATCTGATAACCTCTCACAGCGGCTAACTGAGCAGGAGGGAGTTCCAGCCCTCTGTGGTCCATTATTCACCATAGAACTGCACTAGGTCAAGGTCAGCTGTGTCAGTGTAGACAGAAAAGCTCTGAGCTGTCTGCCACAGTCAGGTGCTTCCTCTTCCTCTTGGTAGGACCATCTAGACAGGGAAGCCTGAGGAAGAGCTCAGTCTGGGCCAGGTAGAGGGCGTCAATGGCAGTGCGCATGCGCAGAGTGGGGGTCGGGAGGCGTGTTGCTCTTGGGTTCAACCTGGAGGTGCATAAGAATGCTGTCTGGTAGGGAAGGTAACTCTGAGCAGTAGCTCCAGCAGGAGACCGCCATGTGTATGAAGTGCTTTTGAGTCAGGAGGGGCTGCCTTGGGATGCCAGCCTGGTAAAGCTCCTGTAATTGTGCATGATGGAGCCCGAAAGAGCAGAAGCCAGACTTTTCCCAAGGTCCAAAGACTCCTGGCTTCCTTCTTGAGACTCAAAGCAAGAGAACCCAAGTCTGCTGAGCGTCTTCCGGGTGCCAGCCTTGTCCAGTGTGCAGCTCGTCCACCACAGAGCAGAGTTGAAACTAGCTGTCCTTCAGCCGTCCCAGGAATGACCCAAAAGGAGACGGCTTCAGTTGTAGACTAGTTCTGTCTTTACAGGGTGTGGTATCGGCTTCCTTGCTGTCTCAAGCCTTGGTTCTGCCTCTGCGTGGAGAACAATCTTGTTTTAGTCTCTAGGTGACTGTCTTGTCACATGTGGAAGACAGAGGCCGTGTGCCTCATTTTCTGTCTCCCGGGGGTTCCTTCTATAACTCTTCAGCAGTCTGCAAAACAACTGGGTGCCTGCCCCCAACCCTCTGTCCTGAGAAACCCCCATATATTATTAAACTGATATCACTGGGGCTGGAGAAGTTGCTCTGAGGTTAAGATCTTCCAGAAGATCCAGGTTTGATTCCCAGCATCCAACAACATGTCAGTTTACAAGCAGCTTTTACTCCAGTTCCAGGGGATCTGGTGCCCTCTTCTGACCTCTTCAGGCACCTGGCACACATGTGGTGCACAGACAAAATCCACATAAAAATTTGAAAAATTACAAAATTGACTATTATCCACAGTATTCCCATCCCTGCCCTAGTACACACACACACACACACACACACACACTCTCTCTCTCTCACACTCACTCACTCACTCACACATACACACACACACACACACACACACACACACACACACACACACACACACTGTGATTTGACCAGTTAGCACAGATATTCCTCCCTGTGCCCTGATGTGCTACCTGAGTTTGCTCAGCACAGATTTGAGTGGGAAACCAGCCAGGACAGTTACTATAGTAAAGTTGTATTTACACTACCTGTCTGGTTCCAGTAAGCATTATCACTTTCAAATCCTCTCTTTGTGTAGTGTGATTCCACACGTACTGATGGCACCTTAACCTCATACTTTTGTTGCCACAGAATTTGCTCCTGGAGCTTTTCCCCACGCTGTGGCACCCCACAGTCTTGGGTTGCTAAATTCTTCTTGACATTCATCTGCTACATTTTCACAGGGTGAGAGGTCCAAGGTGTGGCCCTTAGGAAGCCAGCTTGCTGGGGAAATGCCCCTGAACTAGAAAGAATCTGTGATGGTGCAGATCCTCTCACACCTCAACTGAGTGACAATGTTTTTGACACACAGAGGCCCTAAAGTTTTTTAAGAATCAGCTGTCCCCATATGAGCAAAGTGAAATCCTGGGCTACTCGGAACTGTGGTTCCTGGGGCTTGAAGCGAAGAAGCTAAAGGTGTCTCCTGACAAGTTCAGCAAGGCGAGCTTTGATGATGAGCATGGTTCCTACATGAAGGTAAAGGTGCTGGCTTATGAGAGTGTCGGGGGGGCTGGTCATTGTATAAAGAAAAAACAGAGGGGGTGTTTTTTTGAAACACTTTTTATTATATCTTTAAATTAGAAACAAGCTTGCTTCCCTTATCAGTCCCAGCTCCCTCTCCCTCCCCTCCATGCCGGCTCCCCCTCCATGGGCCTCCCCAGCCCCTCACCCAATCCCCATTCCGTTCCCCAGGGAGGGTGAGGCCGTCCGTGGGGGATCTCTAGAGTCTGTCATTTCGTTCTGGAGAGGGCCCAGGCCCTCCCCCAACAGAGAGGGTGTTTTACTGTACTGTATACTGATGCACTAGGGGATAGGTTTCCCAAAGGAGTCCAGTGGGTCCCAAAAGAAATGCTATATTTCAAAACAAAACAGGAAAGTATGTGATTTATTGTACAAAACATCTGTTATCAGAATGCCAATGTTCTCTACGAATGCTGGGGCCACAGATTTATATGCTGGATGAACTACCATGGGCTCCTCTGAGTAACCCTGGACCCATTAAGAAAGGAGTAAAAGACATCGCCCTCGTGTCTCCTCTTTCATTCTCTTTCATGCAAGCCCCATTTGCGTTTTTTTTCTATTTTATAGCATGAGTCACTTTCCCATCAGGAAGAAAAAACAGAGCTTTCGTTATTGTAGTCTCTGGTGCACAGTACTTCACTTTGATCCCAACAGCTCCTCTCCCACCTCTCTTACTGCCCCTCTGGGGTCCCTGGGCAATGCCTCCTCCCAGCCCGAAGGTGATGGAATCAGGGCGGTGATCCCAGCTTTTGACAATGTGTGAAGGTGATGTTTCATCCACCAGACTGTGGTTGTCTAGTTTCCTCTTTGGGCATCTCATTGTAACTTGGTTTTAAAAGACAGTCTTTGATGGATTCTTAGAAGCAGTAGGTTTCCCCAGTGGCTCTTAAGCCCTGTTTCTCAAGCTAGTGTGCACACAACTCAGCTAGGGATCTTGTTAAATCTGCAGATTCTTATCCAGCAAGATGTGAGGGATAAGGGATTTCCAATTTATAGAAAGCATTTCGATGATACCCAAACCACCAACCACACCACACTTAGAGAAGCAGGCATGCCATTTCTTCTACACGGACACCACAAGAGACCAGGTTCTCAACAGTTTTGAGTCAAGGATCCTTTGGAAATCTTATATAAGCTATGGGCCCTCACCTCTCCCCCACCAAAGCAATCTGCACACACATAAAGTTTCAGGAGAACAATGGGTCATTGGTTACAAATAATCGATATAAGTTTTTCCCCAGAAACCATCACCTTTTTCTTCCTGCATCTTTCCATCTCCCTATGAGGGCATTAGCCAGGAACTTCAGTGAATGCACTGGACCTCAGCCAAATCTTAGAGATCTTTTTTTTTTAATGTGGTGGTGCTGGTGGGGTGGGTGTGTTTGTTACTGTGTGCTCTCTATAAGCTCCTATCAGCATCTTTATTTTATTTTACACACAAACACATCATGCACACAACCAAACACCCAAATAAGCTACACAGCTACAACCTTACATTTACTCTGCCATCATACATTACCTATTTATTGCTCCCCCGTCACAAGTCTGGGCATCTTCTAGACTCTGCAACCATAAAGAGAACAATCTATCACACACGAATATTCTGTGGTTATTCAGGTAACTACAATTAATGTCAAAGTGAGCATGTAAGCAAGCATGTAAAAGAATGCCAGGAAAACACAAATACCCTTTTACACGAGCAAGTCTGCAGATTCTGGCCCTCTTTGTCACAGGCCTTTGCCAGGAGATGAGTACTTTGCCATGTTGATGAAATTGTACATGCTCAAACTCATGGTTTGGTGTTGATTCCTTCTGTATGAACAGAACTGCCACATACATGTTCACAAGCATATGGTGAAATCTACACAAACACTCATCTTTTGTCCCCCTAGACTCTCAAGTTTGACACTGTTAACTGGAGATTCACACAGCTAGAGGACGTCAGACACCATGTCAGTCTGAATCTCTTTCCTGATGTTATAGATCAGAGCACTGTAGCTCAGAGTGAACAAGGGATGTCTAAAGACATTCAGCTCGTCTTCAACCACCAGCTTCACATGGCGTTGATTGAACGCCTGCTCCCTGCTTCCTACCGAATGAAGATTCTCTCTCTTTGAAGATGTTTTTATTCTTAGCCAAGAAAGGCCCAAGTTTCACATTACTTTCTCAGGATAGGATTAAATCTAGACAAATGGAGGAGGAGATGTCTGGCTAAGAAATGGCAAAGCAGACACCAAGCTTTCTCTTATGGACCGAATGCAAAGCAAGGGTCACAGTGGAGTTAATCTTTTTCTGCTGCAGGCCCTAATCATACAGAAATGCAAGTTCCCCCAAAGAGCATCCCATGCTCTTTACACTATTAGACATGGATTAAGCCTTGTGGGACATTTCCTGGTACCACACAACCTAATCATTTATGAGGAGATAAGTTGAGAGCGGGAGTTCAAAACCATTTCCTTCCCAAGAGTGAGCCAGATCTGGGTAGAGGGATCCAGGGTGAATCCAAGAGTCCATGGATCTGTCCCTCACTGCTGGCCTGACTTCTGCAGGTCCTGCATGACCACATTGCCTACAGATATGAAGTTCTGGAGATGATCGGCAAAGGGTCCTTTGGACAGGTGGCCAAATGTTTGGATCACAAAAACAATGAGTTGGTGGCCTTGAAAATCATCAGGAACAAAAAGAGGTGTGGTGTGAATGGTAACGTAGGATGTAGAAATTGGACTGTGTGGCTCTCGGTGCGTCCAAAAGCCAATTCTCTCCTCCGCGGCCCTTCTCAGTTCTCTCTTTGGCTTTTCCTGTTTCTCTCTGTGTCTGATACCATGGAGGGGCAAGAACAAGCAAAACAGGAGTTTTGGATGCGATTCTGACAACTGAGATCATTGGGAGGGATGGAGGACTGTCTGCAACATTGTGACATGATGTGTGTTTTCTGTCCTCACTGTTCACCATCCTGGCCACTCCCCAATCATCACAGATTTCACCACCAGGCTCTGGTGGAGCTGAAGATTCTGGAAGCCCTCAGAAAGAAGGACAAAGACAACAGCCACAATGTGGTCCACATGAAGGACTTCTTCTACTTCCGGAATCACCTCTGTATCACCTTTGAACTCCTGGGGTCAGATGCCTTTTCTTTGTGACATTATGAATGGTTGAATGAGTGACAGAAGAGAAACCAGGGTCAGAACACTAGATGTTTCTGCATGTGGTACTTAATGGCATAATGGTAGACATAATAGCCCCTCAGATAGAGCATATGGCATGGAAAGCTGACATCTCACCCCATGCCTCGGTGGAGGCTGTCACCTGTTTGAATCCACACTCACGCTTCCCAGATGCTGAGTATTGGAGTAGGTGACACAGCACAGCCCTTGCTCTCAAGATCAAAACTGAAACATACTGTAAAGGTCATCTCTTTGCTCTCATGTCCCCCTGTCCTGGCTTTCCAATTCTGTGGTGCAGAGAATAGGACACAGAACCACAGGCAACTGCTACTTAGAGTGAGCAAAGGATTTTGATTTTGAGTAAAGGCAAGAGCAGATTTTTAAAAATAAGACAGGACCCTAATTTATGTAGATTGGCAGCAAATGGCTGGGTATATATCCAAAAAGATGTGCTTGCTGGAAGGGGGCATGCTTATTTGATTATATTTCACACAGCAAAGGCTGATACATTTCAAGTCAAAGCAGAAGCCCAGAATAGATTTATCAAAGGAGAATGATAAAAGGGGCTCTCGGTAGCCAAGTGTTCCTGTGTCATTGATTTAGTAATTTGATGCGTCCATGACACTGCCATGGGACCTGTTCCACTTCAATAAGAGAGTGGACTTTCTGTTCATCCCTTCTGGTGACTGCAAAATGTAGTTTACTTTCCAGTATGCACAAGTGAATTATCTTCCTTGCCTTTCTTAACCATTTAACACAGTGCCCAGGTAGGATGTCATTGTATTTACAAGAGATATGAGAAACCCAGCTCTGTTGGGGAGTTGCTCAGGGTCCAAGGTCTGGGTGTCTAGAACCAGCGCTCCTGAATGGCTTAATAAGTGCTGCTGCAGTGAAGTACTGTCAGGAATGAAAGAGAGGAAGGAAGTGGCCAGGTGTTGGCACATGTCTTTCCTTCCTGTCCTCATCTTGAAGTTTGCACAGAAGACCAAAGCCATCAGTGCACAAATGTATGTTTCTTTAAAAATGCTTAGCATTCATTTTGAAGAGTTTCAAGTCAGCAGATTTCATACAATACAGCATGGCCGTATTTCTATAGAAAACTGAGGATGGTGTGGGAAGAGTCAGCCTCCATTCTTGCAAAGTCACAGTTAAGGAGCCAAGTAGCTACACTTACCTTCAGTAGAATGGGGACTCCATGGTTTACCTGAGCTTCCATTGGCCCATTCTCATTTCCCACACACGCCATGACACTGAAGTACTTGGCAAATCCTATAGGCTGGGCCAGGTGTGGCTGCCTTGTCAATGGCTCCCTGGGTCTTATTCAAGAGCATCCTTGCCTGCTGGTTTATGATCTGTTTGATATTAGAAGGAACCATGTGGCACAGGTTATACATGTGTGTCCAAGCTGAGCATGATGTTTTGATAGCCATCTACCTCACTCTCCTCTCTTTTTCCCAGAATCAACCTGTACGAGTTGATGAAGAACAATAGCTTCCAAGGCTTCAGTCTACCCTTAGTTCGGCGCTTCACCCTTTCTGTTTTGAAGTGCTTACAAATGCTTTATGTAGAGAAAATCATCCACTGTGATCTCAAGCCGGTGAGTACAAACTCTGTGCAGCTGGTGGGGCTGGATGCCATCACTGGTGTCCAGGGAGGAAGCTAGGCAGTGTTCATTTATAAGTAGAGATGCGGTGAAGACTAAGGCATAAATAGTGGGGAGAGAAAGAAGGAGGGGATATATTGAGATATCTAGGAACAAGTGGAGGCATGGTTGGTGTCTTGAGCATCAAGGCACACTGCAAGAAGTCCCAAGAATCTGGATTTACTCTTCTGGTACTTTTTATTACCAGTTCATGGCATTCTTGTCAATTAGGTGTCGTGTGAGTTCAGGAGTTCAAGATCATCCTCAGCTATATAGAGTCCAAGACCAGACTCAGATACATGGTACACTGCCTTAAACTCCCTTTCCCCAATATTTATTACTGTATAATTAATGGGAGAATTGGTGATTACTCTATAACATGCCTCCACAAACAGAATCAGTCAAATTTTATTGGAGAAACTCATGCACAGTTATATTGGAAAGATCCATCATGTAAAGGTAGGCACCTTTGATATCCTAGTGACATCATACTTTTCATATTCTAAACTGGTGGACACCTGGGCATGGCACATATGTAGGCAGAAGGTCTCCATTCAATTCTCATCCTTACTGGCATTGTGTACATAGATCTATTACTGTAATGATCGCCTTATTTAGTATTGTTTCTTTGGGAGGGTTTTTTTATTTTGGTTTTGTTTCTTGAGCCAGGGTTTCATATAACTCAGGCTGGCCTCGAGCACTGTTATCTAGCTGGGGCTGGCCTTGAACTCTTGACCCTCTTGCTATTTTTTATTATTTATTACATTTTTTAAAATTAGAAACAAGCTTGCTTCACATGTCAATCCCAGCTCCCACTCCCTCTCCTCCTCCCGCACCCCCTAGCACCCCCAGCCTCCCACTCCCTTCCCCATAGGGGATATCCAGAGTCTGTCATCTTGTTTAGGGCAGGGCCTAGGCCCTCCCCCAAGAGTCCAGACTGAGAGAGCATCCTTCTTTGTGGTATGGACACACAAAGTCCATTTGTATGCCAGGGATAAATACTGATCCACTGCTCAGGGCCCCATAGATTGTCCAGGCCTCTTCACTGACACTCACATTCAGGGGGTCTGGATCAGTCCCATGCTGGCCTCCCAGCTGTTGGTCTGAAGTTCAAGAGCTCCCTCTTGTTCAGGTCAGCTGTTTCAGTTGGTTTCACCAGCCCATTCTTTACCCCTTTGCTCATCACTCCTCCCTCTCTGTCACTGGGTTCCAGGGGTTCAGTTCAGTGTTTAGCTGTGGGTGTCTACCTCTGCTTCCATCAGTCACTGGATGAAGGTTCTAGGATGGTATATAATATAGTTGTCAAACTCATTATCAGGAATGAGCATTTAAGATAGTTGCTCCACTATTGCTTCGTTTGCCAGTTGGTGTCATCCTTGTAGATTGCTAGAGATCTCACTGGTGCCAGATCTCTCCTCAAACCTACAATGACTCCCTCTATTATTGTATATCTCATCCTGTTCTCCCCTATTCTTCCCCCAACTTAACCTTCTTGCTCCCCAAGGACTTCCTCTCTCCTCCTCTTCTTCCCCTCTCTTTTTCCCAGCTCCCACTCCCCTCCCCCACTGCTCCCAATCTACTAGGAGATCTTGCCTCATTCCCTTTCTCTAGGGTACCATGCATACCTCTCTTAGTTTCTTTCCTGTTTCCCAGACTCTCTGGCAGTGGAATTGTAGGCTGGCATTCCCCTGATCCACATCTAAAATCCATGTATCAGTGTACATACCATGTTTGTCTTTTCGTGACTGGGTTACCTCACTCAGGATGGTTTCTTCTAGTGCTGTCCATTTGCCTGCAAATTTCAGGATTCCATTGTTTTTTTTTCTGTTGAATAGTACTCCATTGTGTAAATGTACCACATTTTCTCTATCCACTCTTCAGTTGAGGGGCATCTAGGTTGCTTCCAGGTTCCAGCTATTACAAATAATGCTGCTATGAACACAGTGGAACAAACATCCTTGTTGTATGAATATGCTTCTTTTGGATATATGCCTAAGAGTGGAATTGCTGGGTCTTGTGGTAGACTGATTCCCATTTTCCTGAGGAATCTCCATACTGATTTCCAAAGTGGCTATATGAGTTGGCACTCCCACCAGCAGTGGAGGAGTGTTCCCCTCTAAGACTTCTTGGAATTCATTGAGAATGAAGACACTACAGACCCTCTTGCTTCTACCTCCCCCAAGTGTTAAGACTACCAGCATGCACCACTGTGCCTGCTAGGAATTGATTCTTAGATCCGTGCCACCCACTGGACAACAAGCTCCTCCTAAGAGCAGGGGCTACTTTTTCTCACTGTCAAGTCCTCAGGATCTAACACAGAACCTGGTACCAGAAACAGAAACCAACAAATGATTGTAAAGGCTGTCAGTTCAGAGCAGTGCCTCAGAACTGGTTCATGAACCAGCCTAACTCACAGAGAGGCAACTGTTCTTAACTTGTCCTTACTCTCTTCTACATCCTTAAAAGCGGTTCATTTCTTTCTGAAAACTGTAAGTCCTGGGCTTAAATTTTTGTGATTAAAGATTTTCAAGATAGAGAGATACTGTCACAACTGATTGGACCCTCATAAGGATGGAAATATATTGATTTATTCATTACACCCAGCTTCAAATTGCCAGCTTTCCGGCTTGAAAGGGTCCCATAGTACCTATGGTCTTCAGATTTAAGGGGCTGGATTCTACCAAGGAAATACCAGTCAAATAGTCAGATAACAGATTTCTTTGAGACATGAGTCGAGTGTACTCAGTAAGTATGCCCCTTTGGGAAATGAAACACAAAATCAGGAGGGTGTTTTGTGACCATGTATTAAAAAGCTGGGAATTAATTGTTCTTGAGTCTTTAGTGTTTACAGTGTATGAGTTTTGAGTGCCCATAGCATTGCTCCCTTCGAAAAGAACTTTCTCCCAGTAAGAATGAAGAGGGGAGGGTGTTCCTGTCAGTCTTCCATTGCTGTGACAAAATACTGATGGAAATTAGCTTCTTAGGAGGAGGAAAGGTCTGTTTTGGCTGATGACTTCAATCTATAGTCAGTTGTTGCCATCATTTTTGGAACTGTGACAAAGCAGGACATCGTTACAGAGAGCAGAGCTATTCATTTCATGGTGGTCAGGAAGAGAGTGTGGGGGTGCTGGTTCTCAGTATCCCCGTCACTTCCAGGCCCCAGTGGGTTAACTTCCTTCCACTAGAGCCCACCTTCTAAAGTCCCTACCACCTCCCCGTAGTGCTGCAGGCCAGCAAGTAAGTTTGCAGCACACAAGCTGCTGGGGACATATAAGATCTAAGGCACAGCCTAGGGCCAGTCCCATTTAGTGAAGGAGTCTCTCCATTGAGCTGGAGACACACAAGAAAGTCTTGTTCTTTTAAGCCTTCTGCTGTCTATTCTCCCTGGATTTATGGAAGTACTGATGGAGAGATGTATGTTTTGTGTGAGGTACCAGAGATTTCAGATTGGCTCGGCAGTGCCCTATGTGCATGTTAGCTCAGTAAGCAATCTTCTGACAAGGAGACCCTTGATACACAGTTAGCCTTGACCAGCACAATTTCACCAAGTTTTATGTCAAGACAAGAGGCCAGAGCTCTGCCTTGATCTGTGACTTGACTAAACACCTGGCTCCCAAAACTCAGCATAAGAGTCATACAGCCCCATCAAAAGTCTGTCTATCTATCTATCTATCTATCTATCTATCTATCTATCTATCTATCTCTCAATTATCTATTTATCTATCAATTCATTGGTTCTATACTATCATACCAAAGTGTTAAGGATAGCATTTCTTATAAACATTACATATATTCATCCAGTAGCATTTGTAAGGCCTTAAGCAAGCCAAGCAAATAATCAGGTACCAAAGAGCATGTAAATAAACTGATAATTGTCAGGAGTTGTTGCACAACCAGTAAGGGAAGAGACAAAGTATATGCAAATGAAGGAATGAAAAGCAGTGGATGCTGGGTCCAAATCAGATATTGACCACAAGTCAATGTGGAGTCCCAGCACGGGAAGACAGTGGGCAGTGGAGAAGATGTGGGAAGAGGACTTTTGAGGTGGTTATATTTGAACAGGACTGCCCATGTACAGGTGGGACACACAGGTAAGGAGAGAGCCTGGGTACCATTAATTTAAATAAACTTAACATACATCTTCTTCTCTCCAGGAAAATATTGTGTTATACCAGCGGGGCCAAGTCACTGTTAAAGTTATTGACTTTGGATCAAGCTGTTATGAACACCAGAAAGGTAGGCCCTTTGTCAGCCTCTCTGTCTGAGTTCTGCTATTATAAGTTCTCTCTATTTGCACACCAGGTTAGCTGGGTGCTAGCCTGGACTCAGCCATCACAATTGCCAGCATACATTTGAGCCAAGTGCTTCACCATCTCTGAGTCCAAGTTTTACATCTATAAAAGGAGAGAGTTGTTTCCAAAGAGCATACAGACTCTCTGAAGTTCTCATAATCCATAGCTATGGAATGAACTATGAGCACTGGGTCCCCAAACTGACCAGATGAGCTTAAAATCACTCTAGGGATCTGGGACATTATAGTTCCCAGGAGCCCACCTTACATGCATAAAATTCAAATTTCTGGTGAGTACTCAGGAGATTGCTCTTTAGAAAATATTCTCTCTACAGTTTAGAGTGAATCACTGCCTGTGATTCAGCCTCTGGACCTTTTCAAGCTGTAACCTAGAAGGGAACCCTGGGGCACATTCATACCTACCTTCACTGAACCTCATTATCATATGCCTCTCTGCCTTTTACAAGTCTGGTCTAGAGACAATGTCCCAGCTATACATCATTCATTAGTCTAGGTACAAAAAGATAGGGCTCCAAACCCCAATATCGTTTCACAAAAGTGAGATAGCATCTGGCTATGTATTCCAGGCTGGCCAGGAACCAGGGGTCCTTCTGCCTCCACCTCACAGATGCTGGGATCACAGATATGTGCCACCACACCCAGCTAAATTCATGCTTTAAAATGCCTTGTGTAAGACAGGGGCTGTAGCTCAGTTTATAGAGTGCTTACCTAGAATATACCTAGGAATTATCAGGTCTAATCACAGCAACAATAAGCCAGTGTGGTGGCACACACCTGAAATCCTAGCACTGGGGAGGCAGAGAGGCAGGAGGATGGGACGTTCTAGGTCAGTGGGTCTCAACCTGCGAATTGTGACCCCTTTAACAACCCTCAATCTCTAAAAATATTTACATTATAATTCATAACAGCAGTAAAATTAAAGTTACGAAGTAGCAACAAAAGTAATTTTATGGTTGGGGGTCACCACAACATGAGGAACTGGATTAAACGATTGCAGCATGAAGAAGGTTGAGAGCCACTGGTCTAGGTAATATTCAAAGCTACTTTGTAAGTTTGAGGCCAGCTTGGGCTCCGTGAAACCTTGTTTACAAGCAAACACAAGCCCAACAAAATGAAAATGTTATACATAAGTGCTTGACAAACCAGTTTTATAATCAAGTAGAGTAGACTAATTTATTTTTAAATAATGAAATCTTGAAGTTGAGGAATCAGTACATCCTCATTTGACCAATTTAACAACAGAGAATGTGATTACAGGACTACTGCCTCTCTCTGCACCCACCCAATAATCAGAAATCATGGTCATGTGGAAATTACCAACAAATTCCATCTCTCTGCCTCCAAGCCTCTCACCTATAAAATCCAGGGTTCCTGAAGCAGCATTGTCTGCATATCCTCCCCTGCTTATTTAATAAAAACAAAAAAACAGGGTCTCAATTCTTTGTCCATGTTGGTCTAGAACTCACAGCTCTTGCCTCAGCCTTGTGAGCATATGAGCTACCTGGCCTGGCTTTACATTTAAATTATGCAGTTTGCAGGTTTCCTTTCCAATTGCGACTTGCTTACTTCCTTACCAAGCATTGACATTCTCCGAAAGCTGTCTACCCAAAGTTTGAAAACTTAGTTTATATTAACCTTACAGTTAGTTTTTACTGTTGTTGGTTTTCAAACTTTACTTTTGAAACGGTCTGATGATGTAAAAATGTGTGTAGAAACTGATCTTGCTGGCCCCACACATAGTTTGGAGGCTAACGTTCTCTTTGAGAAGCGCCTTGATACAATGACAGCTGGGACGTGTAACAATGATAGAAAGTGCTTTCAACTTGTGAAGGGCTCTTACAGCAGGGCTCTAAAACCCTGCTCTGTCAGTCATTTAACACAGTACCATTAACCAAAGTCAAGGGTCTTTGACTTGTATTGGCTGCTCAGTCACAGGCATTCAGCTAAAGAATCTAAAATCACACAGCTTTTTGGTTAAATGGCAGGCGCCTTCCTCAGTCTGATGTGCTACATGATAATGATGCTACCTTTCAACTAGATTTGTGGCTACAGGACAAACAACCCCTTACCCGTGTGGCTTCACAGGCATCTTCAAAACCCTGCACTGAAAACCATGTGTCTTTCCTCTCTCTCCTTGTGTCTGTGCCCAGCTTTCTCCTGGTGTCAGAATGTAGCTCAGAATAGCTTTGAACTAAACAAGTAGCCTAGGCTGGCCTTGAACTTACATCCACCTGCCTTAATCTCCTAAATGCTAGGACTATATGGTTAGCCCCATACACACAGCTAGCAGGATTGTGGGGGGGGCAGGGGTTGTTATTTAGTTTTATTTTTAAAACAGCTAATTTAATTTACTTCCTTGGCATCTACTCCTTTGGAGTTCCTCATTAATAAGAAGGGGATAACAACCAGCTACTGGGAGGATTAATCTGTTAGTAGATAAGCCTACAGAGGGGGGTGTTTATGAGGGCGGTGCTCTAAATTAGGTACCCCAGAGGCATTTGGAGAAACCTTTGTGGCAAGGTTTCTCTCCCTTTGCACCACAGTGTACACATACATCCAAAGCCGGTTCTACCGATCTCCGGAAGTGATTCTGGGCCACCCCTACAACATGGCCATTGATATGTGGAGCCTGGGCTGCATCATGGCAGAGCTGTACACCGGATGCCCACTGTTCCCAGGGGAGAACGAGGTCGAACAACTGGCTTGCATCATGGAGGTGAGGGGGAGGGTCAGCCACCAGCATAGATGATGTCCTGGGATAACCTCCATTCCCAGTCACGGGGTTTCATCAGACCCAGCAAGGGCAGTGCCCTGTGTACTCACCTACTTCCGAAAGTATTTTTTGTAATGATGTGCTTCTTGTATTTTGCTGAGCTGAGAGCTACCTTTTCATCACTGTAAATACTGACATTTAAAAATAAAACAGTGATACTAGTCTTTCAATACATCACCATAATGATGATAATAACAATATGGAAGTCAGTGTAGTAACAATAACAATCTGAAGCCAGATCACACTGGTACCCACCAAACCTACCTAAAAGTCTGCTGCTTGTGTTCCTAAACGATCTCACCTTTCTCTTGCTTTGTTCTTCTTTCTCCTTGAAAAAACAGGTAGATAAAATAGCTGGGAGTGGTAGTCAAGTGATAGTTAACTGGTCCAGGAGTTAGTAAACCAGGGCCCAGCCTTGGATATATCCTTATGGCATACCACATTGTTTTCTGTGAACCATTGAAAACGAGAGTCAGGATACATGTTAAGACTGAAGTACCCTTGAACCATCCCTGCTTCTACCACGTGGGAGACTGGGGCATGTGAGTTGTGTTCCCTACTGTTCCAGGAACACTCTACTTCCTTTGGACCTCTGAAGAGGTGCAGAACCAAAGGGTGGGGTTATGCCTAGGCTATGTCTGCCAACCAGGGCGGAGGGTGCGCTGGTTAATTTCTCTTTGTCTTATACACATGTGAGTTTCAGAGAAAACAGTGACCAGTCAATACTAAATTTTCTCTCCAAGAATATTCTTTTGTCTTCTCAGGTTCCAGGGCTTATTGCCCTTTGCCTCTCCCAACCCAGTGTTCCACCCTAGAAGTCTTCCCTCATTCACTGTGGTTTGCATGGAACTGAGAAGGGATCTGGGTGTTACCACAGTGTCTCACCTGTTTTCATGGCCAGTGTAGGATACTGAGGCAGCCTGGAGTAGGAATTGTAAGTGCTCTGCCACTGATGCAGTGTTGGCGCTTAAAGCTTTTGCGCCTTAAATGTAAAAGACAAACTTTGGCCAAAGTCCCATCTAGATCTTGACAGCCTTTGAATTTGTGACTCCACAATAGTGACACAGCCACACTGTACTTGTTGAAGGTTCTGGGCCTGCCACCTGCCCACCTCGTCCAGACGGCCTCTAGGAGACAGATATTCTTTGGTAAGTTCCATGATCTCTTTGTCCCATTGTGTACAGGGAGGTGTCACTGAACTTGAAGACACCTTCCACACCCTAGACAGACAGACAGACACTTTTTCTTTTCCCACAATGAAGGGTGATAAGGAGCAGCAGAGATGATAATTGGTACATAGTAGTGTGACAGATGGTGTCACACAATGGAAAGGGGTCTTCAGAGCACAATACCAGGAGCATGGGAGACCCTGTTCCTCAGATCTATCAGTTAGTACTGCAACCACGAAAGATTAAAAACATACTCCCTCCTAGAGGTGCTCCCCAAACAACTTGGCCTCTCTTGCCATGCACCGTGTTGAGAAATCAGGGCAGAAACTTCTGGCATAGTGGGAAATTCCACTGTTTATAGTGTACTGTTATTGGAGAATACTACTACTACTACTACTACTACTACTACTACTACTACTAGATTTGCATGTGTAGGGTGGGGTGTGTGTGTGTGGGTACATGTGTATGCACGGGGATGCCAGAGGACAGTGTCATCAGGTACTGTTGTATGACACTATTCCTGGGATGGTGTGAACAAGCATACACTCACCCAGAGAGGGAACTGATGACAGACCAAAGTAAGGATTGCAACAAAGCCCAGTCGCCCAATGAATGTTACTGGTGTTACTTGCAGGAGTGTAGGTGAGGGGTCACGGGGAGGGGGTGGGGTGGTGGTGGGCAGAAATGACTTAAACACAGCTGCATCACCAAGAGCCCAGAATGGGTGACAAGAAAGTTGCAAGTCTGAAGCTCACTGCACTGTCTGCACGAAGCTCAACATGTTGGAAAGTGGCTTTTTCAGATAGCCCAAGTGGTCTGGGCCTCTTCCAGGCAGCTCAGCTGCTCTCTGCTTCTTCCATGGAAGAACATTATCTCTAGGCAGTTCTCATAACTTATGTATGTTCTGGGAGAGAAGGGACTAGCAAATCTGTTTCAGGGACTTCCTGAAGCTTCTGGATTATCTCCTGAGATTAATGAGCTCTGCTGCAGGTTGACAGACTTCACCTCTCTTTGGAACACCCTAAGTCTTAAGGAGATTCCCTCTAGATGGAGGTTTATCCTGGAAAGTACTGCCACCCAATGGGTACAGTCTCCTGTTTCTGCCTACCTTCATTTTGAGACAGCACCTCTCACTGAAGATGGTGCCTACATTTTGGCTATACTAGTTGGTCAGGAAACTCCTGTGATCTCATTGTCTCCATTCCCCTGGAGTTACAGGTGCTGTCATATCTACACTTTACATGGGTGCTGGAGATCTGAACTCAGGTTCTCATGCTTGCGCAGTGAGCATGTTATGAACTCAGCCTCTGAGGATTATCAAGTAGATGGAAGCCAGGCGTGAAGGACCAGAGACTCCCCAGACAGGGAGCATTTCTAACCAACCACTGTTGTCAGTCAGGCTAGTTGACAGGCTCACACCAGCTATGCAATCTGAGTCTTTTTAGTCCCTTCTGATTATTGACAGGGAGTGGCCTCAGAAAAAGTAGGCAAATCATAGATTACTCTCAGCCTTCTCCATCAGCAGTAGAGTTAAGATTATCCCCATAGGGAGCCACTAAGACAAAATGGTTTCAGTCCTGCTGGTCAGCATGTATTGGTTTCCCCTCTTATGTTATTCAGTAGCAAGCCATGGCTTCAGACTTACTGGCTCCTCACTCAGGTTTCCTTGAACTCTCCACGATATAGAAACTAAAAAATGAAGGCCCAGCAGGTAGAAGTACAACACTATGATCGGTCTGTCCCATGCCATTCCAGTTTTCCAATCTTTCAAGTGTGACTTCATATTTCTGACTAGAGATTGGAAAACCTTGCCTCTGAGCAAGGCAGTATCCTTGTTCTCTCAGCACAGTACTCCGAGATACTTAGCTTTCCTCCAAACACTTTGAGGATGAGTACAGGCTCTGGCTGACTCCCTGGTGAGCTGATAGGCTTTTGACTGCAAATGTTCTTCCCACTAGCTGCTTACAGAACTGAGCCTTTGGGCTTTGAAGAATTGCAGGGAAGAACAATGGACCTAGGGGGTCTCTCTTTTGTTAGACGATCACATCAGGGAAGAATCACATATTGTAAACCTTGAACACTGACCTCATGAGACAGTATCCAAGTGGGGACACAGGCATCTTTGTTGGAAGACTCCAAAGTCATGTGAGCTGATGTTTTCCAGTGTCATCATGCCTAGGTCTTGGGATAGGTTTTCATAGCAACATCCACATCTTGGCATCCTCGACGTCACTGGGGCTGCATCCAATTCACAGCTGCCCAAATGTTAAGATCATCTAGATACTAAGCAAAAATACTAATTGCTATAATTCTCTTCTGTGACCCATGAATCTTGGGTCTATAATATCTGCTCTTTGGGACTCTGGACAGGTGACTCTGGGAAACACCTTTTCATTTCTTTTCTTGACTCTTCTCCCTGGTTTGGGTTGTTAACAATTTTTCAAGCCCCAGCTACTTTGGGTTACATTCCTACTCAGCAGGAAAGAGAAGCTGCCTCAGTGAGTGTGATAAGTTACTTACAGGGCTGTGAGGTTGATTGCTCCTGTGTTTGTTTGTTGGTTTGTTTGTTTTTAGGATTTTTTTTGCAACATAGGGAGAAGATGAGTGCAGGCGTCACCTCTAACAGGAAACAGAATCGGTGTGGGTTTATAGGCTCTATATGATTCTCTGGTCCATTCACAACCTTGTAAACACAAGGATATCCGTGTCCACAAATTCCTATACACATATTTCTGGAAGTTTCTCTTCCAGGAACTCAGTCAGAGCAGTTTGGAGGCTCTGAAAATTATATTGGTTATGAACCCAGTGGAACAGAGTTGGGCATGGGGTCTACAGTTAATTCCCAGAACTCCGGAGGCAGAGGCAGATGAATTGCTGTGAGTTCAAGGAAAGTGTAGTCTCCATAGCAAGTTTCAGACAAGACAGGGCCACATAATGACACCATGTCTCAGAAAAAGGAGTGACGGAGGTGAGCAACATGACAGAAGAAGTTCATTATGTGGCCTCCACCATGCTCATCACACAACACCACTTCTGAGAACACTGAAGTACATGGACTGTGTAAATGCATATATTTGCTCACTTTACAAAGTGTAAAGCAAAACCGCGGCTCTTCTGAACATCATACAAGAACCTCAATGTGCAGTTGAATGGTTTCATCTTCAAAGGATTCTACAAAACATCCTCAGCCAATCTTTAAAACCTTCCAGACTTTTGGCAAGGGTCTTACTCAGTAGAAAGAGGTGAAGAAAGGTCATTTCAAACCATGTCTTCTGTGCCAGGCAGGACCAAACACTCCAGTTGCTGACAAAATTTTGGTGTGACCCCAAAGAATCAAGGAAGGTGATCAGCTCGTGTGGCTTGTAAATGAGCTCTGAAAGCATTCTAAAATATCTTGCTTTATTTGGCCTCATGAACTGCCTCATTTTTATTTTAGTAAGGCTAGTGAAGAAAGAGTAAGGGCATAGATAACACAAGAAGACACAACATCTTCTGCCTAGAGATGGATACTTCTGCCATTTGATATTTATTTTTATCATTAGCACCCCCAATATACAATAACATTGGTCAGTGGCAACTGATTTAATCTATTTGCTTGATTTGGAAAGCATGTGGTGGGAAGCAGGTTCAGAGCATACAGGATAGTAGGAACTTTTGTTTTAGGCATCAGTCATATTCACTAGGTATGTGGATTATTTCAATCTGGCCGAGATTATTGGATGTGTTTCTATGTGTGGGTGGAGAAGGGTGGAATGGGACAGGCATGTTAGACAGGGGACAAGAGCTACAGGGAGGCCGTCAAGAAGCAGCATGATTGAGTGGATGGCTGTGAAGTGAATAGTGAATATTTATGACTGGAACTAAATACAGAATGTTGTTTCTCTGAAGATTCCAAAGGTCTTCCCAAAAATATAACCAACAACAGGGGAGAGAAAAGATACCCAGACTCCAAGGATCTCATGATGGTGCTGAAAACCTACGACTCCAGCTTCCTAGACTTTGTCAGAAGGTGTTTGGTGTGAGTTTGTCGGGGTGTCTTTGCCCACAGGTTCCCTAACTTTTAAGTACTATGCTTTCCCATGTGCTTGCAGTGAAAGTCTAAGGCTGGGAGATGGGTGTTAAGAGTCAGTCACTGTTCTCACAGCAGAGGCTTGAAGTCTTTAAGTCATTTAATGTGTCAGACACTGCTCTCCCTACAGTCTAGGTTCATAGGGTCAGCCATTTTCTCTGGACTCTCTGGAAGGCTGTGTGTGTGTGTGTGTGTGTGTGTGTGTGTGTGTGTGTGTGTGTGTGCGCGCCTGACTGAGAGATTGTAAGTCCTACTGTCTGGCACTTCATGAACTAAAGCCATGTCTTCTGTGGGCCTGTGGTATTGTGTGCCAAGCTATCCAGTGTACATGGGCTATACAAAAGGGAAGGACTAGGACCTAAAAGAAGGGTCAGCCATTTTATTCCACATAACACTAACGAGTAGAATTTAGATTTGGGTGAAAGTTACTTGGAAATAAGTCTATTTTGGCTTGATAAGATTGAACATGAAACCCTTTTGAAGATTAGTGTTTTTCAGCTGAGTGATATGGCAAATGTATATAAACCCAGATGTTTGGGAGGCTAAAGCAGGAGAATTTCAAGTTTGAGTTCAATCCTGGCTAAATAAGATCCTTTCTCAAAATAAAACTGAAAAATAGTAGAGTGAAACTCAATAGTAGAGTGATGTCTCAGAGTATTTGAAGTTCTGGGTTTGATATGCAGCATGTAAAAACAAAGAAACTCAGAAATTTTCAAAATTGAAATTTGTGCTAGCATCTATTTCCTGAAAGTATTTTAAGAGTGGTAGAATGATTTGTTAGTTCTGTAAAATGTATTTTTTTTTACTATGTAAGAAATTTCAACTATGTTGAATTACAACCCCTATGTATAAGTCTTTTTGTTTGCTTGTTTTTGGATATAGGATCTCACGTAGCATAGGCTAGCCTCAAATTCACTACCTACCTGAGGCTGGACTTGAACTTCTGATCCTCTTGCTTCCACCACCACTTCTCTCCCCCCCCAGAGCTGGGATTAGGCATGTGCCATCATGCCCAGCCCCTGTATGAATCTGATATTCTACAATTTTCTTTCCACTTACCTTTGGAGGCCCAGATGCCATAGTTTGAGAAGCATGCACCTTGTTTCCATCTACGTCTCATTGGCTTGGATTCTTAAGTAACATTTCTTGGGGTTGTTTGTTAAGGTTCTGGAGGCCGATCTATGCTCAGGGTCTCATTCATGCTAGGTAGGTGCCCTACATCCCAGCCCTAAACAGTACATCCTGCAAGATAATTTCTAGGGAGCCTAGACAATTTGGTATTCATATTACACCTGGTGCATTATGCATCTTTTCTTGAAAAAATTATCAATAGCTATTTGCAGTCACTTTACAATTATGTCATCACCTCTGCTCTTTGATATCTTTGAAATACAACACAGCTAAAATGAAAAACATCTTGGTTAGGCATTTTACCATGCAAAGGGAAAGTCAACAGTAACCAACTCATGTTGGGTTGTCTTGGTATCCAGATGGGAGCCTTCTCTGCGCATGACCCCTGACCAAGCCCTCAAGCATGCCTGGATTCACGAGCCACGGAAACTCAAAACACGGCCCAGGCCACAGATCCTAAGAAAGTCTAGTTTGTGTACTTCTGAGATAAGCAAGGACAAGGCTGAAGAACATCGTTCCAGCAAAAACAAAACAGGTACAACCCAAGGAGCCAGGTATGGGAGAGCCAGCCCCGATGTCTGCACAGGACGTGGGCTAATTCAGTCCTCACCATACAGCATGAGCTTACCATTCTTTGGTTTTGTGCGTTTCCTCTTTTGGGAGACTTTTTGGCCTTTTGACATTAAGATTGTCCATTTTTTCAATATTCAATTCCCTTTCTCCTTCCTGTTTCTTCCATTATGCTTACCCCATGTGCCCTCTGACTGCCTTTTATGCTCTTTTAAAAATATTTTACTTTGAGTGTGTGCTGGCGCCCACAGAAGGTGTCAGATGCCCGGGGGATAGAGTTGCAGCAGAGGTTGTAACCTTGCCTGTGGAGACTGGGAATAGTGCTCTGACCCTCCGGCAGAGCAAGTGCTCTTAACTGCTGAGCCATCTCTCCAGCCCCCTATACATTATTGTAATGACATAGAATGGCAGTGTAGCCTAGTAAAACAGATCACTGGACTCCAGTTAAGTGGGATTGAATTCTGCTGCCGCAGTACCAGGTGTGGCTCTTAGGCGATTTACCTCTCTGTGTTTGTTTGTACATGGATGGCAATAGTGTTTATTCTGAGGGGTTTAGGAAAAGATCAGTTGGATAAGCACAAAGTGCTTAGAACGATGCTAGTCACAGAATGTTCAATTTCCCCAAACTGATGCAGAACCTAATACACAGTGGCTAGCATTTGAAGGGTCACTCTTTGTCCTTCCTTCCTGCAGATGAGACCACCAAAGAAACTACAGACATACTAAACGATGACGCTGAGAAGCATGGTCAGAATTCAGGCAAACAGCAGAGCTCTCTCCAGCACATGGGTGACACAGTCCAGCTGCCTCAACTAACAGAAGCATCTGGAAAGCCAGAGACTGTTGCTGGGTCAGAGGTGACCACAGAACAACAATGCACCTCCTCCCCCAAAAGCACAAACATTCTACCACCCATCTTGTGACCCTCACGGAGGGTGCATCCTGTTCCTCACCACTATCGACTTGTATTAGAGAAGGCACTTTGATTGTACAATACTTCACACTGCTTTTTTAATGCATAAAGATTTGTAAGAAAAATCAAACTCTATTCACAGGGTTCAGGGTAGAGGTGCTTACCTGAACTTACTTTTTAGGGTGTGTGTATGTTTGTGTAGGGGGCAGTGTCAGATGCTACAGCCTCACTCATGGAACTGTAAATAAAATCAGATCTTTTCTTCTTTGTGACTGTCAAATCTATGTCAATTGTTTTGCTTTGTTCATGTGTATTTGTACATATGTATGTGCAGGTGCACATGGAGGCTGTCATTCTTCTTACTGTCCAGTTTCCCGAGACAATCTCTCACTGGCCTGAAAACTTGCCAAGTAGTTAAGACTGGTCATTGAGCAGGGATATGTCTTCACCTCCTCAGTGCTGGGATTACAAGTGCGCGCCAGCACGCCACTCTTTTTTAAGATTTATTTTTAGAGTGTGTGTGTGTGTGTGTATAAACCTGCCATGTGTGAGCAGGTGCTCAAAGAGTCCATTAGAGGGCATCAGATCCCCTGGAGCTGGAGGTGCAGGTGAACTGCCTGATGTTGGTGCTGGGAACTGAACTCTGGTCCTCTTGAAGAATGAGTAAGCACTCTCTACCACTTAGTCACCTCTGTAGCTCCATGTCTGGTCCTTTTCCATTGGTCCTGGGTATTGAACTTAGGTATTTATGCTTATGTGGCAAACATTTTACCAACTGACCTATGTCCTTGACCTGGTATTCTTGTTTCAAAGTTCTGGGTATATCATAGCATGTTATTGATTTGTACAGTTGGGCAACAGCTCAGATTCCCCGTTCCTCTATTAGCCTAGCCTCTTGCCTTCCCCCACTTCTCCCTTTCTGCAGCTAGCTTGTGCTGAGACAGGCTCAGTCTGGAAGTTCAGGGATTACCCACATCCTCCTCAAAGCGTAGTCTTGGGGATGGGGATGCAGACTAGTCAGTAAAGTGGTCGCTGCATAGGCAGGGGCTTGAGTGTGGTCCCTAGAACCCAAGTGGGAAGTTGGGTGCAGTGGTGTCTTGATTGACTGGAACTCAGCCAGCTCTGGGTGAGGTAGGCTACTTTAGACCCCCATCTCACAACAAGAAACATAAGCGGCATCCTCTAAAATCAATAAACAAATTTAAAAATCTGGCCTAGCAAGATGGTTCAGTGGGTAAGTGATTGCTGCCAAACTAACAAATAGTCTGAGTTTCTTCCTTGCCAAGAGCAAGATCCACAGACCTCACATGGTGGAAGCAGAGAACTGATTGGGTCAAGTTGTCCTCTGATCTCCACACCTGGGCTGTCTACTACATAAATAAATAAATGTGATTTAGGTTGGAACTGACTATGAGGCAGAGGATCACCTTAAACTACTGAACCTACTGCCTCCACTGCCCAAGTGCAAGCATTGCAGCCCTGCACGCCCATACACCACTGAGAACTCAGCTTTAACCAGCGCTTTCTTTTCTGCAATGGGATAACCTAGGTTCACCCTGGCTACATCTACCATACACACAGCCCCTGGGGCTCTACCTTGAACTGTGAGTAGGGCAGGAAGTGGGCAGTGATCCCACAGCTGTACAAACTGGACACCCAGAATACCACAATGTGAATGATTAGCCGTTACAAACTGTTTTCTGGTTGTTGTGGTTATGAAGAATGGAAACAAAATAAGCCCAATCGAGGTATATTCTAAGGGACCAGTTTAACCAGCTCACAGTTAGGGACAGCAGGGAACTTAGTAGGTGGCTCGGCTGTTCTTCTCTGCCATTCTGTCCCTGCCCTCTTCCCTCTGATGGTTTTCTCAGAGAGGGTGCAGCCTTACCTTTCAAACAAAAGTAAGCCAAACTCATGTAGCCCTTTAATTGTAATCTTTTAATTTATGTCCTTGCTCGCATGGACAAGAAAATCTGCAAAATCCAGTGAGTAGCGTTAGATGGTGCATCTGGTGTGGGTGGTGTGAAGGGAACTTGAGGGCCCTGTGTGGCAGGGAGGGGGGCTGAGGGAGTAGGGACATGGCCCACCGGTGGAACACCGGGTGGGCTCCAATCACAGGTTTGCCATCAGCCAGTCCAGCAGCTGCAGTCGCGTGACGTTTCCCACCGCCTCATCCAGCTGTCGCTCCTTCTCATACCTCAGCACCGACTGCAGAACCTCCCCGACGCTGCGGCCTTTCTCCACAGCAGCAGCTGAGAGCTGAAGCAGCTGTGGAGAGAGAGAGAAAGGTGAGGAGAAGCAGAGCATCCCAAAACAGGCCAGAAGGAACCTTCATGGCTGCAACCAAGAAGCCACCTGATGTGGAAGCTGAAGCCGGTGGGACTCGGGGGTTGAGGACAAACTCTCAGGGATCCATGCAGCTAAGGCTGGCCTCGAACTGCTGATCCTCCTGCCTCTGCCTCCCGAGTGCTAGCGTTATATGCATGAGCCATCTTGCTCCAAACAGATGGATTTTAATTGTTATGGTTCAAGGACTGTAGCTAGGGCCGTATGCAAGCTTAGCACTTAGCCCCAGTCCAAGAAGACTTTAACTACAGCCACTGTTGATAAAGGAAGTTTGTCGTATTAAACAAGTATTAACAGTCCCCTGTTCATGATATGATATGGAATATTATCTGTCACTGAGTCAAATCTTCCATTTTCTTCTTGAAGATGGTGCTTCAAAGTGAGTATTTGTCAACACTGCTCTTGTTCCCATATAGTTCTAATATTCTATGCTTGCCCTAACATAAATGTCTCCATTTGTGATGGTTTACATTGATTTCCAATTAGACAAGATGTGGAACCACTTTGAAATCGAACTTCTGGGTGTGGTGAGGGGCTTTCTAGGCCAGGGTAACAGAGGTGTGAAGATCTACCCTGAGTGTGGGCAGCACTTTCCACATGCTAGAGTCTCAGACACCACATAAGAAGAAAGCTGGCTGAGTGCCAGCATCCATTTCCTTCCGCTTCATCATTGTGGAGTGCAATCCTCCAGAGAAAGGAAGTCCTGGCAGCAGGGTCGTGTGGCCAGTCACATGGCCTCCACAGTGATGAAGCACAGGGAGTGATGGATGTGACAACACTTACTTGGAATTCCAGGACTCAAAAGGTGGAGGCAGGCAGATCTGTAAGTTTGAGGCAGAATGCTCTATAAAGTGAGTTCCAGGTTAGTCAGGGCAATATGCTTCCAAAAACCAAAGACTAAAACAAGTCAGTCCGGTAGCATACGCCTGTCACTCAGTTATTAGGAAGGCTGAGGTAGCATGGGACTGTCACTCAGTTGTTAGGAAGGCTGAGGTAGCATAGGCCTGTCACTCAGTTATTAGGAAGGCTGAGGTAGCATAAGCCTGTCACTCAGTTGTTAGGAAGGCTGAGGTAGCATAGGCCTGTCACTCAGTTATTAGGAAGGCTGAGGTAGCATAGGCCTGCCACTCAGTTGTTAGGAAGGCTGAGGTAGCATGGGACTGTCACTCAGTTATTAGGAAGGCTGAGGTAGCATGGGCCTGTCACTCAGTTGTTAGGAAGGCTGAGGTAGCATGGGACTGTCACTCAGTTATTAGGAAGGCTGAGGTAGCATAGGACTGCCACTCAGTTGTTAGGAAGGCTGAGGTAGCATGGGACTGTCACTCAGTTATTAGGAAGGCTGAGGTAGCATAGGACTGCCACTCAGTTGTTAGGAAGGCTGAGGCAGGACTTCTGCAAGCTCAAGCCTGAGTGACTCAGTGAGCTTCCATCTCACATGAAGTATTACTGGGGTGGAACAGGTACCTTGTGTGTGCATGACCATGGGTTCAATTCCCAGTTCAGGGGCAGGGCAAAGTTTCAGCAAAGAATTCAGAGGTATAAAGGAGCACTAAGTGGAAATGTCAAGGCTAAAAATAACATTAAATACATAAAATAAGGAGGTATGAGATGGAGGAGGCCACAGAAGGAAGATAAAATGGAGACATTATCCAAGACTAAAGACATGATAAACAGAACTCCAGGCCTGCGAATATGACTCCAAAGGTTTAACACTCCCATCCTTAGAATCAGAGGGGAGGAGAGGAGATGTGGTATGGAACAGCAGCTGAAGGACTACGGCCAAAAGCTTCCTCAGCTTACCTCAAGTCCAGAAGCTCAGCATACTTAACAAAACTAAAGAAATCCACCCCAAGACCTGTTACAGAGTTCTCAAAACTAGCTTTGTTTTTACAAGACAAGGGTCTTTCTTATCTGTAGCCCAGGCTGGCTTCGAACTCATGGCAGTCCTCCAGTGTTGGGATTCTGGGCACCAATATGCCCATTCTGTGAGAAGCAAGTTTGGGCCTGTAACCATGGCTGCTCTTCTAGAGGACCTGCATGTGGTTCCAAGCACCCATGCCGGGCAGCTCACACTGTCTGTAACCTCAGCTCTGGGGATCTGATGCCCTACTCTAGCCTCCACAGGCATGCACACACATTAACAATTTAGAAAATCACTTTTAGAAGGGCATTTAAAAACGTATTTTCCAACTGGTGATTGAACTGAGGGCTGGGCATGTACCAGGCAAACACCACTACCACTGAGCAACACTCTTAGGGCAGAGAACACCCTGAAAGCTGCCAGAGGGAAGCAGAGCATCACAACCCAAATGGCACTGCATTGCTTTTAATTAGAGGCTGGCAGGGTCGGAGGGAGGGCAATATGTAAGAAATGTCAATGGGGCGGGGGCTGGTGAGGTGGCTCAAGGGTTAACGCATTTACCATGCAAGCAAGAGGACCAGAGTTGGGCCCCCAGGACCTACATATACTGGATGGGTGTGAGGGCCTGCCTGCAATTCCAGCCTCAGAAGACAGTGGTGGGGTGTTTGAGAACAGGATCAAACCAGCTAGCTGGATCTGATTCAAAGACCCTACCTCCAACAATCAAGTGGAAGAGGAATCAGGAGAGAGCCCTAACACCAATCTGGGGCCCCTACAAACACTTACACACGTACTGTACTTATACACATGTATGTGATCTGTCAGATGGCTGCCCGATGTTACTGTGAGACCTTGGGTGACTGTCCAGTAGCCTGCCGTTTGTCATTTCTGGCACCTTTAGGAATTTGCCCACTTGCACTTCCTGTGTATCCTAGTAATGCTATTTTCCTTCTCAGGTCTTTGATGAGGTTGAAGACCAGACAGTCACAGTAAAATCCCCTCTTACCTTAGCTAGAACATATTAGGTACAAAACTTAGACTTTCCAGAATAGGACAGCTATAGGAGCAATCTC